CAGCAGCAGCAGCAGCAGCAGCAGCAGCAGCAGCAGCAGCAGCGTGTGTGTTGCAGCTGCTGCTGCAGTTTATTACAGCACATGGAGAGTTAGGGGAATTTGCACGGAGACAATTTCAACTAGGCGTCCCCTCGCAGGAGACAGTTTTGCTGCTGCTGCTGCTGCTGCTGCTGCTGCTGCAGTAGCCCCTGTAGCTGCAGTAGTCTCTTCTGGTTTTTGTCTTGCGTACACCAGCAGCAGCTTAGCTGTATATACACCTGGGGGCAATCTGCTAGCATCAAATTCTATTTTAAGTGTCTCCTCAGTGTCTCCTTTTAAATAGAGATGATGATGAGAGGGAAAGGCAAATAAAAGCCTCCCCAGCAGCAGCGCATGCAGAGCGTTAAGGCGTCTCCCAGTCATAGACAGCCCCAAGTGTCTCCTGTCTCCTTCACCCCCTCTCACCAGTACATCCACAACTTGCTGCGGTATTGCTAAAGGAGACAGCGACAAAACTTCTGCTGCTACACCGCTCACCATAGGTGCAGCCATGCTAGTCCCGCTAGTCACACGATACACCCCAGGGGCCCTCCCTTGGGGGCCCCCAGGGGCCCCCCCTCCTTGAGGGCCCCCAGGGGCCCCCCCGTCAATCGCGGGCCCCTGAGTGTCTCCTGAAGCGATCTCCGTGGGGCCCTCAGGGAAGGGGCCCCTTGAGGGGCCCCCTGAGGGCCCCTGTTGGGGGCCCCCTTGGGGGCCCCCTTGGGGGCCCCCCTGGGGGCCCCCATTGGTGGTTTGTTGTTGTGGGTTGATGGAGACATCTGGGGTGCGCCAGGTAGAAGCGATGAGCTCTCCTGGGGCTGTAAGATGTACTGTTTGCTTGCCTATGTTAGCCCAAGAGGGGACAGTCCCCTTTCGGGTGTATGCGGAGACAGTTAGAGACCAATCTCTTACAAATGATGCAGGGTAATAAGGAGACAGCGAAATATCTTGACCTTCATTTCCTGCTGCTGTTATGAAGACTGTGTCTGATGCACTCGCTACTGCTTGCTGCAGCAACAAACCTAATATATGAGCTGCTGCACCTGCATGCAGCAGCAGCAGCAGCAGCAGAAACAGGAGACATAAGTAGAGATATAATAATGTAAACAGGAGACAGTTAAACCGATATAGAGAGGAGACACTTTAGCCAACAATGTAGAGAGACAAAGACAAACAAAAACAACTTAATTCTACGCGCAGCAAAGACGCAGACAGAGACACACAAAAAGAGACAGACAAAGGAGACAGACAAAGGAGACAGACAAAGGAGACAGGTAAATAAATAAGATAAAGGAGACAGAAGACGAAGAAAATAAATATAAACAAGTGATATCGATTTGAAGACGATGAAGGAGACAAGCAAGAGACACTTAGATAGACTATATACATAAACATAATATATATGTACGTGTAGACATAGCTATATATATGCATGTAAATACATATATATATATATATATATATATATATATCAGGGCTACGCCTTCTCGTTTCTCTTATCCCCAGCGCATCCGACAAACGGAATCAAATATAAATATATATAAATATAAATATAAATATATATATATGTATATATATATATATATATCTACATTAACTAGACCTATATATATACATACATACAAACATATATATACATATATATGTATATATATGCATATATATATACATCTACATACATATACAAACATCTATATACATCTATATGCATATATATATATATATATACACAAACATATCTACACAAATGTCTACACACATATATACAAATATATAAATATAAATGTATATAAACATATCTATATATATAAATATAAATATATAAAAATATATATATATATATATATAACTAACCAGTGACACCGCCCCAAGAGTTGGTGAGTATTTTAGCACCGTTTTGAACGGCGTATTGAATAGCGGGGACTGCATGAGAAACGTCTCCTTCTCCGCCGCCGTCTAAAATCTTTAGCGCCATCACCGCGCTGTGCTGACTTATGCCGCTTATACCCTCTGCGTTGTTTCGACGAGCTGCCACTATCCCTGCACAAATCATTATTTATATATATATATATATATATATATATAGGTGTATATATATATATAGGTGTATATATATATGTAGGTGTATATATATATCTATAGGTGTATATATATAGGTGTATATATATATGTATGTATGTATATATATGTATATATATGTATGTATGTAAATGTATATATATATATATAGAGGTATATGTATGTATATATGTATATACATACATATATATGTATATATATATATATATATATCTGTATAGAATGTATATATATATGACAAGGAAATAGAAAGAAAGCAAACGTAGACACACAAAAAGAAAGAGAGACAAAGAGAGACAGAAAAAGAAAGACAAGGAGACAAAGAGAGACATAAAAGCAAAGACAAGGAGACAAAGAGAGACAGAAAAAGAAAGACAAGGAGACAGAAATTGCCTCTACCTGCTACATGCGACCCGTGCCCGTTATCATCCATCGGGTTATTATTATTCATTAGGAAGTTCCAGCCAAAGACATCATCAATAAACCCGTTTGCGTCGTCGTCTACCCCTGTCTTTAAAACAAAACACAAATAATAAAACAAAAGGAAGAGGCAAATAACAGATTCAAACATATTACAGACAGAGAAATAGCAAATAAGAAAAAAACGAGACAAAAGGAGACAAAAGGAGACAAAAGGAGACAAAAGGAGACAAAAGGAGGCAAAAAGAGACAAAAGGAGACAAAAGGAGACAAAAGGAGACAAAAGGAGACAAAAGGAGACACAAGGAGACAAAAGGAGATACTGAGGATAAAGAGAGAGACAAAAAGACACAGAAAAAGAAACGGAAAAACAGTTGCCTCTGTCTTTGTCTCTATCTCTATCTCTGTCTCTATCTCTGTCTTTGTGTTTGTCTCTGTCTCTATCTCTATCTCTGTCTCTATCTCTGTCTCTGTCTCTAACTCTGTCTCTGTCTCTAACTCTGTCTCTAACTCTGTCTCTAACTCTATCTCTGTCTCTATCTCTATCTCTGTGTTTTCGTCTGTCTCTGTTTTATTGTTTGTGTCTCTGTTGGTGTTTTTATTGTTTGTCTCTTCGCGGGTTTTTGCTGTCTCCTTTATCTTTGATGTGTCTCCTTTTTGTCTCTTCTTTTGATTTCTTTGTCTCTTGTTTGCCTCTGTCTACTATTTGTTTAACCTTTATTATTTCTTTTTGTTTATTGTCTCTCTGTCTCTTTAAATATAATTTATTTTATCTTTATTCTTTATTCTTTATTATTTTTTGTTTATTATATCTCTGTCTCTTTAAATATAATTCAATCTATCTTCATTATTTATTATTTATTATTATTTATTATTTATTATTTATTATTTATTATTTATTATTATTTATTATTTATTATTATTTATTATTTATTATTTATTATTATTTATTATCTATTTACCTGTCCGTGAAGTTCTTTGCGATTTACCCACATAGAAAGAGACAGTTCCGGGTGAAGGTAATTAACACCTAAAAATAAAATAATAAAAGGAGACAGATAAAGGTTAAAGGAGACAGATAAAGATTAGAGGAGACAGATAAAGATTAAAGGAGACAGATAAAGGTTAAAAGAAACAGAAAGGATATAAAAGACATTAAAAGGAGACAGATAAAGATTAAGGGAGACAGGAAGGATATAAAAGCTATTAAAAGGAGACAGATAAAGATAAAAGGAGACAGAGAAAAAGAAAGCGAAAGCGAAAGAAACAAAGAAAAGCATAGAAAAATAAAGAGACAGCGACAGAGAAAGAACAAATAAAAACGGAGACAGAGACAGACAGGAGGCACCCGAAGGCGGCATTCGAACTAAGAGCCCTAAACCCTAAACCCTAAACCCTAAACCCTAAACCCTAAACCCTAAACCCTAAACCCTAAAGCCTAAACCCTAAACGTGAAGAAAAAAGAGACACCACAACAGCAGAGACAAAACAAAATCTGCAGCGACGGAGACAAGGAGACAGCAGCAGACAGAGAACGGGAGGGTGAAGAAAAAGAAAGAAGAGACAGAAGGAGACAAGGTAATAAGAAAGAGACAAAAGGAGACAAAAGGAGATACCGAAGGAGACAACAAAGAAAAAGCAAAGGAGACAAGTAGTGAGAACTGAAGCAGACAAAACAACAACGGCGAGAAAGGGAGACAAAAGGAGACAGCAAAGGAGACACTAAAGGAGGCAAAAGGAGACAAAAGGGGACACCAAAGGAGACACCAGACACCAAAGGAGACACCAAAAGGAGACAGCAAAACAGCAGAGGAGATGCCGAAGGAGACAACAAAGGGACAAGAAGGGAGACAGCAGAGGAGACAGCAGAGGAGACAGCAGAGGAGACAGCAAAGGAGACTGCAGAGGAGACAGCAGAGGAGGAGACAGACGTCACCAGTATCAATAACAGCGACGGGTACAGCAACATCGTCTGCTGCTGCGAGGGCCCCTAACCGCCAGACACGCAGCATATCAATTCCGTTAGCAGCAGTTGCTGCTGCTGTCTCCTCCTCTTCATTTGCTGTCTCCTTTCCCCCCTCCTCTGCAGACAACTCCTCAACATGCCTGCTGCTGCTGCTGCTGCTGCTGCTGCTGCTGCTGCTCCTCTTGCTGCTGCTGCCGCCACCGCCTCTCCTGCCACCTCCCCCGCCGCTACTACCATCACTACTACTGCTGCTGCTGCTGCTGTTGCTGCTGCTGCTGCTGCTGGTGTCTCTTGATACTCCCTGACATAAATCCCTAACCTTCAGCAGCTGCGAGCGAGCGTAATCACTGCGCAGCAGCCACGGCGAACTCCAAGAGACGCCGAGAAGTGCTGCTGCACTTCCTGCTTCGCATGCAGCAGCAGCATGGGGGCCCCCCTCAGGTGGGGGGGCCCCCAAAGCCCACTGAAGATTGAACAGAGGGTCATTAGGCGCTCCAAGACGAGAAGCTGCTGCTGCTGCTGCTCCGCCTCCTGTTACACCTCCTGCTGCTGCTGCTGCCGCAGAAGACTCCGAGGGAGACACAGCAATAAACGCATTATCAGCTAACCTCTGCAGCTGGCGAGACCCCTTCAAGCCGGCTTCTTCCCCCGTTGCTGCTGCGCTTCCTGCTGCACTTGCTGCTGCTGCTGCCGTTGCTGCTGTCGCTGCGGCTGCTGCGGTTGCTGCGGTTGCTGCTGCCGCGCTTCCTGCCTCTGCTGTTGCTGCAGGCTGCTGCTGCGGCTGCTGCTGCTGCTGTGGCTTGCGCTGGGCCCTTATCGGAGCGTCAGGAGACACAAAAAGAATGTCTCTAGAGGAGCTGCTGGCGTCTACCAGTTGCTGCAAGAACTGCTGAAGTGATAACAAGTCTTCCTGCATGATCCTGCTGCTGCTGTTGCTGTTGCTGTTGCTGCTGCTGCTGCTGCTGTTGCTGCTGCTGGTCTGGGGATAGTCAAGCGTCAGGAGGTCTACGCCGCACAGTTCTAGAGACTCGTATAAAAGGGTTGCTGCTGCTGCATTTGTCTTTGCTGCTGAAGTGTCTCCTGTCTCCTTTGCTGTGTCTCCGGGCCAGAGCTTCTGTGCCCGCCGAGAGGGAGCAGTATTTCCTCCTTCTTCAGCAGCAGCAGAAGCAGCAGCAGCAGCAGCAGCATCTCGTTTACCAGCTGCAGCAGCATCAGCTGGTAGCTGCTGCGCTGCACTCCCCCCTGTTGATTTGAGTCTGCTGTATATACGCCTAACGTCTTTAATAAGAGCTCCTGCCCCCTTTGCTGCTTCTTCCAGCACCTGCAATCTCCTAGCCGACGTCCCGCTGCTGCTGCTGCTGTTGTTGTTGTTGCTGTTGCTGTTGCTGCTGCTGCTGCTGCTGTCTGCAGCAAGTCTCCTTCGTTTAAGTGTCTCCGTGTAGCGGCGTGTTCTGTATTTGTCTCTGAATCCCCGGACATCAAACTGCAGGCTGCCAAGAGGCATTTTGGGGGCCCCCCTTAAGCTGCTGTCTGCTGCTGCTGCTGCTGCTGTTGCTGCTGCTGCTCCTCCTGTTGCTGCTATCTCTTTCGCAGCAAACGCTGCCGGGTCTAGCGGCAACTGCGGAGGGACATAGAGAGACGGTTTGCTGCTGCTACTGCTGCTGCTTTCTTTGCTGTTCATCCGCACCCTCGTATCCCTGCTGCTGCTGCTGCTGCTGCTGCTGTCTGCGAAGGAAACAGCAGCAGAAACATCAGCAGCAGCTGGCAGAGGGGGGCCCCCCTTAAGAGGTTTTCTATTAGCCTGTCTCCGCAGCTCTTCTGTCTCCTCTTTGCTGCACCTCCACCCCACAAGGACGCGGTTTAGATACACCTCACTGGCGTCAAAGGCCTCAAAGTCAACCATTGCCACCTGCTGCTGCTGCTGCTGCTGCTGTTGCTGCTGCTGGCGCTGTTGCTGCTCCTGCTGTTGGTTGGGTTTTGGGTTCTTTGATTGTTGCTGTTGCTGCTGCTGCTTTTGCTGCTTCGACTGTTTCTGCTGCAGCTTCTGCTGCTGCTGTTGTTGCTGCTTCTGCTGCTGCACCTGTTGTTGTTGTTGCTGCTGTTTCTGATGCTGCTGCTGCTGCGGAGACACGAATAAGCTCTCTTTGAGGGGTGGGGCCGTGGGGTGTATAGACTGCTGAGTTTTGGTGTCTCCTTTCTGTGGAGGCAGCTGCTGCAGCGTCCTTGAGGGCCTGCGAGCTGCTTCCCTTTGCTGCTGCTTCTGCTGCTGCCTCTGCTGCTGCTTCTGCTGCTGCTTCTGCTGCTGCTGCAGCCGCTGCTGCTGCTGCTGCTGCTGCTGCTGCTCGCGTCTCGGTGGGGTGGGTCTCCGTCGGGAGCGAGAGGAGCTCTCTGCCCCAATTGCTGCAGCAAGTTCTGCTGCAATAGCAGCATCTACTTGCTGCTGCACTGCAGCAGCAGCAGTAGCAGCAGATGCAAGGGACTCTTCACTCAACGGCTCAGAGAGGGCTAGCCGCAGCAGCTCCTGCTGCTGTTGCTGCTGTTGCTGCTGCTGCTGCTGCAGCCTGCGTGTGTGGGGTGTCTCTTCATGCTGCAGCGGTGCGAGTCTGTAGCCAATACTGGAGATAGGAGACGCAGGCATACCCCAAGTGTCTCTTCTCAAGCGCGCTAAGAGGCCCCTGTCCTCAGCCTCTTCCTTTTGCTGCTGCTGCTGCTGCTGCTGCTGCTGCTGCTGCTGCTGGGCGTCTATTTGTGCGAGGGATTTTCTGAGTGCTGCTGCAGTTTGTCTCCAATCTGTCTCCAATCGAACAGTAAGCCTCACAGGTGCTTCTGCTTTTACTCGCAGCAGCGCAGCAGCAGCAGCAGCAGAACCTGAGGGGACAGCAACTTGTATATGCTGCTTGCTTAGCATCAGATCTGCTGCTCTCACCCACATAGGCTCTGCATCCCTCTCTCCTGTCGCTTTCTCTGCTGTCCGCTCTTCTGCTGTCTCTTCATCTGCTGTCTCTTCATCTGCTGTCTCTTCATCTGCTGTCTCCTTCACCTGCAGCACAACTGGGGGCCCCACAGCCACCGCCACCATCGAAGAGCTCCGCATATTTCTCGGGGCGCTCAAAGCAGCAAAAGGTACCTCCAAAACAAAACTCTGAGCATACACCAATACACCCTCTTGGGGGCCCCCCAGGGGCCCCCCATCAGGGCCCCCAAGGGGCCCCCCATCAGGGCCTTCAAAGGCCGGGGGCCCCTCATCAGGAGCCCCTAATGAGCTCCCATCAGGGGCCCCTGAGGGCCCCCTAGTAGGGCCCCCTGGGCTATCCCCACTAAGGGCCTCTAAGGGGCCCTCACTAGAGGCCTCTGTGGGCCCCCCACTAGGGCCCCCTGGGGGCCCCCCACTAGAGCCCCCTGGGGGCCCCCCACTAGGGGCCCCTGGGGGCCCCCCGCTAGGTACCTTGGGGGGCCCCCCACGGCGGGCCCCTAGGGGACCCTCTGAAGACGTCTGAGAGAGGAAGGCCCCTATAAAGGACTCTGATTGAGAGGGGGGGGCCCCACCTTTGGGGGCCCCCCAAGAGGGGCCCCCTAGGGGGCCCCTAGACGCTGCTTCCTCTTTAAAGTCTTCTGCTGCTGCAATTGCAGCAGCGCCTCGGGGGGCCCCCTCAATTTGTCTGTCAGGTGCAGCAGATGCATGCAGGGGCCCCAAACCGTCACGGCGATGAGGCTGCTTGTATGCTGCTGTTTGTGCTGCTGCTGCTGCTGGTGTTGGTGCTGCTTGTGCAAACAGTTGCGCTGCTCCTGATGCTGCTGTTGCTGTTGCTGTTGCTGTTGCTGTTTCTGTTGCTGCTGGTTCTTCTGCAGCAGCAGGCGCTGCCGCTACTGTGGGTGTAACTGCTGCTGCTGTTGGTGCTGCTGCTGCTGCTGCTGCTGCTGGACGCTTTGGTGCTGCAGCTGCTACTGTATCGCGGAGCAACGTGTCTTGTTCCTGGCGTGCTTCTGCTGCTGCTGTTTCTGCTGCTGCTGCTGCTGCTGCGTCTTCGTGCAGCGCTGCTGCTGCTGGCTGCTGCCTTATGGGTCTCCCTTTGGGGGCCCTGGGGGGCCCCCCAGCAGCAAAGGCGTCTCCTTGCTCTTTTTGTTTATTTGCAAGCGGACGGCTGCGTTTGTTTCTTCTTTTGCTGAAGATGTTTGGAGACTGTGCAGATACGTGTGGGGCCCCACACAGCAGCAGCAGCAGCAGCAGCAGCAGCAGCAGCAGCAGCAGAGGGGAGGAGTAGAGGGGTAAGAAGCGCCTCCTCGCCAGGTGTCTCCTTCTAGTGTCTCCGTTTAGAGGCTCTGGTGAGAGGAGACAGCAAAGAGACTGGCGGTGTACAGACAGCAGCAAACAGGGCTTCTTCATGTTTATTCATTAGCTGCATATAAACAATAAAATAATTATAATTATAATTATTAAAAGTGCATCAGCAAATAAAAATAATTATTATTATTTTATTTATTAACCACCAGCCTCTGAAACCGGAGTCAAGAGAAAAGGACGCTGCTGCATGCATGCTGCTGCTGCTGCACCTGCTGCTGCTGCTGCACCTGCTGTTGCTGCTGCTGCTGTACCTGTTGCTGCACCTGCGGCTTGCTGCCTCTGCTGTTGCCCTGCTGCTGCTGCTGGTGCTGCTGCTGCTGGTGCTGCTGCTGCTGCTCCTGGTGCTGCTGCAGCTGCTGCTGGTGCTGCTGCTGCAGCCTGCTGCTCTTGCTGTTGCCCTGCTTCTATTCCTGCTGCTGCTCCCGCTGCTGCGGGCTCTGCGATGGAGCAGCAGCACTTGCTGCTGCTGCAGCTGCTGCTGCTGCACCTGCAGCTGCTGCTACTGCTGCTGCGAGTGGTGTCGCTACTATTACTACTGCTGTTGTTGCCGGTGCTGCTGTTCTAACTGCTGTTGCGGTTGCTGCTGCTGCTGCTGTTGCTGCTGCTTCCGGGCTTGGAGGTGTTACGCTGCTGCTGCTACCTGTTGGCTACTTGGGGTGTACGTACACCTCAAACACCCCTATCATATCAGACCTGCAATACCTCTTATCGCTGATGCTGCTGCTGCTGCTGCTGTTGCTGCTGCTGCTGCTGCTGCTGCTGCTTCTCTACATCGAGGAGGCGCAGCCGACGGGGAGGCTGCATGATGACGCTGTTTATGTTTCTTCTTTTGCTGTTTATACACCTCAACTTAAAAAATATAAAATCAGGAAGAGACTAAGGCCCTGTTGCTGCTGCTCTTGTTATTGATGCTGCTGCTGTTCCTGCTGCTGCTTCTGGTTTTGCCGCTGGTTTTTGCTGCTGTTTTTGCTGCGGTCCGGGGCGATACAGCAGCAGCAGCAGCAGCAGCAACAGCAGCAGCAGCAATATCAGGGGGAAGAGAATGAGGAGCTACCTTCTATGAAAAAGTTCTATTACGATTTACTTCGTGAATTTCAAACGTCTATTGTTGTTGCTGCAGCAGCAGCTGCTGCAGCAGCAGCAGCGACAGCAGCAGCAGCAGCAGATCTTGTCGCTCTGCTGTGGGGCCGCAGGCGACCGCAGCCGACGGCGGCGCTGCAGTGTACATACACCGCAATTATTGCTGTTATTTTAAATTCTTTTTTGTTATTTATAAACAAACAAATCAACAATATTAATAAATTAAAAACAGAGAGGAGATAGCACCCAACTGCAGCAGCAGCGCAGGAAGGCAGCAGACAGCTGAGGCGGGCGCCGCAGCCTTTCTCTGTCTTCTTCATTAAATTGTACTTTAAATATTTTATTTTATTGCTTTAAGATTAAAACGATAATAAACCGATAAATTCAACGCAGAAGGAGACACGTAAACACCTTTATCTGCTGCAGCAGCAGCAGTTGCTGCTGCTGCAGGAGTTGCTGCTGCTGCAGTAGTTGCTGCAGCAGCATGTATAGCAATGTTTGTCTGAAGCCTTTTTTATTATTATAAATATTTTATTGTTATTTCTTTAGCGTTATTATTATTACTATTATTTTGTTTTATTTCTTTATTATTATTATTATGAGCATTATTATTATTTTATTGTTTTCTCTTTACTATTATTATTATTGTTATTACGTTTATTATTATTGTTTCTATTTGCATGCACTGCATGCAGCAGAGGTGCTTTCTTGCTGCTGTTGTTTTGCTGTTACGAAGGGGGGTTCTGCTGTTGCTGCTGCTGCAGCAGCAGCAACAGCAAGCAGTGCTGCAACAGACGGAGGAAGAAGGAGATAGAATGTGTTATTGTTGCTGTCTCTTCTGTCTCCTTTGCTGCAGGGGTCTTTATATATAATCAAATATATATATAATAATAATAATATTAATATAAATATATATATACGTTTGTTATTTTCTTCATATTCATCAGTCTTGCTTCTACACTCTATCAAAGGAGATATATCTGTTAACTTATACATGCGCCTGCAGCTGCTGCTGCTGCTGCTGCTGCTGCTGCTGCCGCTTCTGCTGCTGCTGCTTCCGCCGCCGCTGCCACTGCTGCTGCTGCCGCTGCTGCTGCTGCAACTGCTGCAGCCAGTACTGCAGCTATAATAATTGTTTTGCTGATGAGGCTGCTGCTGCTTCTGACTCTGTCGTTATCGTTGCTGCTGTGTGCTTCTGCAGCAGCAGCAGCAGCAATTCGAGTGCATTCTTCTATCTCCAGGAAACGAAATATAAAACCCCTAGGGTTTAGGGTTTAGGGTTTAGGGTAGGAGAAGAGAGACAACAAGGAAGCAAAGAAGAGACAGGCGGCTGCTGCTGCTGTATAAACCCTGCTTTTGCTGTCTCCTTTTCTTTTTCGTCTCTCTTTATCTCTTTCTCTTTGTTTGTTTGCTGCAGTTGTTCGCCTGCGATGTATTTATTTATTTTGTTGGGGCAAACTGCGCTCAGCTGTCTCCTTTTTTAATTGTCTCTTTCTCTTCTTTCTGTTTCCTTCTCTCCTTGTCTGTCTCCTTTTATCTGTCTCTGTCTCTGTCTCTCTTTGTCTGTCTCCTTTTATCTGTCTCTGTCTCTTTATGTCGGTCTTTGTCTCCTTCTCTTTGTCTGTCTCCTTTTATCTGTCTCCTTTCATCTGTCTCTGTCTCCTTTCATCTGTCTCTGTCTCTTTATGTCTGTGTCTGTCTCTTTTAATCTGCCTCTGTCTCTTTATGTCTGTTTCTATCTCTCTATGTCTGCCTCTATCTCTCTATGTCTGTCTCTGTCTCTTTATGTCTGTCTCTGTCTCTTTACGTCTGTGTCTGTCTCCTTTAATCTGTTTGTCTCCTCCGCTGTTTGTCTCCTTTGTTAAATTTACGCTTTCTACTTTGTCTGTCTCCTTTATCTTGACTTTTAAAATCTCTTTGTTTGTTTGTTTTTGTTTGTTTTTTTTGTTTTTACACCGCTATTTATTAATTGGTTCCCTTTCTTTTCTTTTGTTTAAATATATCAACATACTAAGATATATAATATATATAATATATATAATATATATATATATATTCATAACATATTAAGATGTATACCTACATATACCAATGCGTATATTTACTTAGAGGCTCAACCCACAAAGATATATACACGCTAATATAAATAGATCTAATAGATCTATAGATCTATATATATATCTATATATATAGTTGTATACATACATCTATATGTATGTATACATATATATGTATACATACATATATATATCTATATATTTATCTATATAAATATATAGATATATATATGTATGTATACGTATATATATATGTATCTAAATCTATATGTATGTATGTCTGTACGTTAGTGTGGAGACTCGTCTTAGGGATGCACGAACTCTCCGTGCAGGGGGCGCTGAGATAAACAAAATCAGCGAAATTAAATTAAATATTTCTTGTTTGTCTTTTGTTTAAAGGCCTGCGTGTTGCAGTGGATGAGTTGAGGTGTATAGGCAGCTCAGTGATGTTGGTAGGGTGTATGCATGCTAGGTAGGGGTATGCTGCTGCAGCATTTGGAGCGGGTTTTGATTAAAATATAGATTTATTTAATTATTAAATGCATTTATTTAATTAATATTAACTACTTTAACTGTTTTTTCCTGCACTTTTGCGGCAGAAGGCGCTACACACCACGCCCCCAGCAGGGAGACGCTGCTGCAGACGGGTGTACATACACCCTAAAATATTGAAATTTAAGCATAATTAAAGAGTGAAAGGGTTTAGAATTTATTTAATCGTCAGATTTATAGGGTTTAAATGAAAAATTTGAGGTGTATGTACACCTGGGGGTTGTGTGCGGCAGCGGGGCCGCGCAGCGGTGCAAGGCAACACACATCTGCAGCAGCAGCAGCAGCAGCAAGAGTAGCAGCAGCAGCAGCAGCAGCAATGTTTTGTAATACCTGTTTGTTTCTTTCTTCTTCTTGATATAAACATCTTCTTTTCTGTCCCTTAGAGCGCCGCTGCGACAGTGAGCGCTCCGCAATATCGCTGCGCCTCGGAACTACTAGGGTTTAGGGTTTAGGGTTTAGGGTTTAGGGTTGGCGAAAATGTCTTCTGAATTTCTATCCACTAAATCTGTCGGGCTGCTGCAGCAGCAGAAAGGGCTGAATAATAGCTTGAGGGAGTTGATGCAAGATGAGGAGCGCAACGCTCGCATGTACAGGGAGTTCGGAGGTACCCAATCCCTAAACCCTAAACCCTAAACCCTAAACCCTCAGTTCGCTTCCGCTGCTCCACAAAGGGACTTCAAGCTGCTGCTTCTCCGCAGCTTTGGTTCAGTTAAAAGGGTCTTAGGCCGTAGGGCTTAGGGTTTAGGACCTAGGGTTGAGGGTTTAGGGTGTAGGGATGGGGGTTTAGGGTTTAGGGTTTAGGGTTTAGGGTTTGTACTCAGGTGTCTGCATGGACTTCAGCAGACAGCTCCTGGATAAGGAGGGCCTTGATGCCTTGATAGAATTGGCAAAGGAGCGACGTGTACGTAAACCCTAAACCCTAAACCCTAAACCCTAACGAAGACTTTGCGTGTCGTCGTTGGCTGCTTCGGCTTCTTAGGTTTTATGCACTGTGGGATACTCAGCAATTAGGGTTTAGGGTTTAGGGTGGGGGAGGAGGGGAAGGGAGTCGATCTCCCCGCCCAAACCCTAAACCCTAAACCCTAAACCCTTCTTTGAATGAGATTTGCCTCTCGCAGTAGCATCTGGTTTCTGCTTTATTTTTTAGGGTTTGTGGTTTGTGTTTGGGGGTCTCTGCCAGCACATGTTGCTTTTAAATGATGAGGATTAGGGTTTAGGGTTTAGGGTTTATTCTCTGTGTAGGAGTTCAGGTCTTCTTTAGTGGTTTATCTCCCTTTAAAAGAGTTTAGGGTTTAGGGTTTATCTTTTAATATAATAACTTCATTATATCGAATTGTAACACGCACATATACGGCTAGACTAGGGTTTAGGGTTTAGGGTTTAGGGTATGATTAGGGTTGATAGTATGATGTTTAGGGTTTGTGAATATCGGTTGAATTTAAGTGTTTCTGGTATGATATGAAGTAGGTTTAGGGTTTGTGGTTTAGGGTTTGTGGTTTAGGGTTTGCGGTGTATTGCAGGTGGCAGAGAAGGTTCAGGCAATGTTTAAGGGCGAGAAAATAAATATAACTGAAGGCCGAAGTGTACTACATGTTGCGCTGCGCATGCCGAAAGGAGAAAAACTGCAAGTCGATGGGGCTGACGTCGTCAGCGAGGTGCATCAGGTCCTCGACCGGATTAAAACCTTCTCAGAAAAAATCAGAAATGGTAGGGTTTAGGGTTTAGGGTTTAGGGTTTAGGGCTTAGGCATGGGGGGGAAGGGGCATGGGTTTAGGGGTGGGGGGTGCCGGGGTACGGTTTAGGGGTGCGGGGTTAGGGTATAGGGTTTAGGGTTTAGGGTTTAGGAGTGAGGGTATAGGGTTTAGGGTTTAGGGTGTTGGGGTTTAGGGTTTAGGGTTTAGGGTTTAGGGTTTAGGGTTTTGGGGTTTAGGGACGGGGGTCGGAGGGTCAGGATTTGTGGTTTAGGGTTTAGGGTTTAGGGTTTAGGGTTTGTGGTTTGTTGCAGGTACACTGAAGGGTGCAACTGGGAAGACTCTGACGAATATAATCTGCATCGGCATTGGCGGCAGTTACTTAGCGAGCGAATTCCTAGTCGAAAGTCTCAAGACAGAACCGTCAGCGAAAAAACAAGCAGAAGGAAGAACCATCCGGTCAGGGTTTAGGGTTTAGGGTTTAGGGTTTAGGGTTTAGGGTTTAGGGTTTGGGAGGGAAATGGGAGGAGTTAAAGGCAGAGAGAAGGAGCAGCAGACAAAGGGAGACAGAGACGGCTAAACAGAGACAGACAGAGAGAATTGTGCAGACAGTAATATATATATAGATGTATATCTATTTAATTATACTTTGTTCTATTTAATTAGCGTTATTTATTTATTTATTTATTTATTTATTTATTTATTTATTTATTGTATTTGTTTGCAGCTTCTTAGCGAATGTAGATCCTATAGACGTGGCGCGGTGTACAGAGGGCTTAAAACCTGAAGAAACTTTAATAGTAATTATCAGCAAAACATTTACAACAGCAGAGACAATATTAAATGCGAAGACACTCAAGCAATGGCTGGCAAGCGGAATACCAGGAGAAAACCCTAACCTCAGTAAGATTCTTTATGAGGGTTTAGGGTTTAGGGTTTATGTTGTAATAGTCATTTTAAACTCAGTATACAACCCAGGCTTGTATGCATGCAGATACATGCAAATGCATGCAAACAGATGCATCTATCCATCCATCCATGCATGCAAGCAAACGCATCCATTGAAATTCAGGTTTCAGGGTTTAGGGTTTAGGACTTAGGGCTTAGGGCTTAGGGTCTAGGGTTTAGGGTGTATGCGCAGGTCTGCACATGTGCGCCGTCAGCACCAATTTGGAGTTGACAGCCAAATTTGGAATTCCTGAAGACAGAGTCTTCGGCTTCTGGGACTGGGTGGTATGCTCGCGAGGCTTTAGGGTTTAGGGTTTAGGGTTTAGGGTTTAGGGTTTGCTCCTGTTAAGGGCTTCCTACTGTCTAGGGTTCCCGAATGCCAGGGGAGTTGTAGGGTTTAAAGCCTCATTTCTTTTGGGGTTGAGGGTTCAGGGTTTAGGGTGTAGGGTTTAGGGTTAGGGTTTACCGTTAGGGTTTAGGGTTTAGGGTTTAGGGTTTAGGGTTTAGGGTTTGCGTTTAGGGCGGACGTTTCTCTGTGACGTCAGCAGTGGGAGTTCTTCCTTTGGCCATTCACTACGGCTTCGATGTTGTAGAGAGTCTTCTCAAAGTAAACCCTAAACCCTAATTAAACCCTAAACCCTAATTGAACCCTAAACCCTTATTTAACCTAACACCCTAAGCCCCAGTTGAAGCGTAGGCCGTCGTTAAACCCTAAACCCTAATTAAACCCTAAACCCTAGTTAAACCCTAAACTATAATTAGACCATAAACCATGACGAAGCGCTAAACCCGAATTAAACCCTAAACCATCACGAAACCCTAAACCATCACAAAACCACAAACCCTAATTATGCAGGTTTATTTAGGGCGACTACTGACTAAAGATTGTTGAGGCTTTATTAGTGTTCATTAGGGTTTTTTATAGTTTATTGGGGTTGAAAAGGGTTTATCAGGGTGTAGGGCGTATTAGGGTTTAGGGTTTCGTAGGGTTGAGGGTTTATTAGGGTTTAGGGTTTGTGAGGGTTTAGGGTTGCCACGCAATGGACAAGCACTTTTTGACTGCACCAGTGGAGGCAAACCTTCCGATGTTGATGGGTCTAGCCTCTGTCTTCAATTCGTCAGTGCTGGGCCTCAACTGCGTCGCTGTTCTTCCTTACTGCCAGGTGCTGCTTCCTGCTGCTGCTGTTGCTGCTGCTGCTGCTGTTGCTGCTGGTGATATTGGTGGTGGTGTTGCTGCTGCTGTAGTGCTGCATGCGGTGCTGCTGCTGGTGTTTCTGCTGCTGCTGTGTGTGTGTGTGTGTATGGCTGTGTGGTGCGGGCGTGGCTTAGCATTAGCATTACTGTTAGGGTTGAGTTGAGGGTTGAGGGTTCAGGGTTTAGAGTGCATGCATGCGTCAGTGCATGCGCATGCAAGTTTGGGGCTTTTTTGTCTTTTTTTTGTTTTTTTAGGCAATGCATCGATTTGCAGCGCACATTCAACAACTGACGATGGAAAGCAACGGTGAGCAAATTTAGCCCCCTCTTGTTGTATTGATGCATGCATGCATGCATGCAGAGTGGTGCGTGCATGCAGAACGGTGTGTGCATGCAGAGCGGTGTATGCATGCATGCATGTAGCGTTGTATGCATGGAGAGCGGCGCATGCGTGCAGAGCGGTATATGCATGCATGCAGACTGGTGTATGCACGCGTGCAGGGCGGTGCATGCATGCGTAGACGGCTCTACATGCACAGCGGTGTACGTGTACGCATGCATGCATGCATGCATGCATTTATTGCAGGGTATGATGTTGGGGCTTTTTTTTCGTTGATGCATGATGCAGGGAAGGGCGTCGACATGAATGGGCAGCGGCTCGCTGGGGCTGCGGGTGAAATTTATTTTGGAGAGCCCGGGACCAACGGCCAGCACAGGTAGGTAGCTGCCTATACACCCCAACATCACCAGCTGTACAGGCAGCTGCGGCTGCATCTTGTCGCCTCCCTACTCCTGCTGCCGCTGCTGCTGCTGCTGTTGTTGCTGCTCTGTATGCTTGGGGTGTATAGGCAGCTTTTGCTTTTTTTGTTTGGGGTGTATATGCAGCTTCTACCAGCTGCTGCATCAGGGGAGGATAGTGCCTGCGGAGTTCATCGGCTTCCAGAAGAGCCAGAACCCCATCACCGTGAAGGTTAGTGAACTAGGGTTTAGGGTTTAGGGTTTGGGGTTTTTTATGAGGAGGCTCAGACGACCTGGCGTATAGTTCCTCGGGTGTATTATTAGGGTTTAGGGTTTAGGGTTTGCAGCTCATGCAGTTAGCCATTTGGCGTCGCTGGAACCCCCCTCTCGCTGGGCCTTTAGGGTTTAGGGTTTAGGGTTTAGGGTTTAGGGTTTAGGGTTTGTGTATAGGGAGAGGAGGTATCAAACCACGACGAGTTGATGTCAAACTTCTTTGCTCAGCCCGATGCGCTGGCCTTTGGGAAGACAGCTGAAGAATTGCAGAAAGAAAATGTAGCAGCAAATCTTATCCCTCACAAAACATTCACAGGCAACAGACCTTCCACCATGTAGGGTTTAGGGTTTAGGGCTTAGGGTTTAGGGTTTAGGGTTTAGGGGTTGGGGGTTGCGGAATGGGGGGTTGGAAACAGGGCTTGTGGCCACCTTAACGGCTTCCAGCTCTAGGGTTTAGGGTTTAGGGTTTAGGGTTTAGGGTTTAGGGTATGCATACGGTATAGGGTTTTCGGTGTAGGGTGTATATATAATTTAGAATTACGCGTTCCGGGTTTAGGGTTTAGAGTTGCGGGTTCCGGGATTAGGGTTTAGGGTTTAGGGTTTAGGGTTTAGGGTTTGCGGGGCAGGTTGTTGTTGCCTGAGTGCAACGCCTACTACTTGGGAATGCTGCTCTCTCTCTACGAGAACCGCGTCGCTACTGAGGGCTTTGTCTGGGGAATTAACTCCTTTGATCAATGGGGGTATTTAATGCTGCTGCTGCTGCTGCTGCTGCTGCTGCTGCTGCTGTTGCTCTAGTGTGGCTGTGATGCTGCTGCTGCTGCTGCTGCCGTGTGGCTGTGGTGCTGCTGCTGCTGCTGGAGTGTTGCTATAATGCTCCGACTGCTGCTGCTGTTGCTGCGGCTGCTGCTGCGCCTTTAGTGTTGTTGTGATGATGCTGTTGCTGTTATAGTGCTGCTGCTGCTCAACTGCTGCTGCGGCTGCTGCTCTCTTTCGGGTTTGTTGCTGCTGCTGTTTGCGTGTTGCTGTAAACCCTAAACCATTTGTCTACGCAAACCCTAAGAGGGTTTAGGGTTTTGTATTTTTTTATTTAATTGCCGTCTCTTATTCCAGTGTTGTTGTTTATTTAAATGTATTTGTTTAAGTAGCTACATTTGTCTGCTTACTACTATTATTTATTTATTTATTATCTTTGTTTATTTAATTGATGTCTTTGTTTTTTAATTAATTAATGTCTTTGTTTATCTTTATTTTTATTTTTATTTATTTTCAGCGTGGAGTTGGGCAAAGTCTTAGCGAAAGATATCCGCAGAATCTTCGCCAGTGCACGCAAGGGAACAGAGTGAGTGTTGTTTAGGGTTTAGGGTTTAGGGTTTAGGGTTTAGGGACGACAGCATCTTCTGTGTTGTTTCTTTTTTTATGTTTTTGTTTGTGTTGCTGCTGTACAAAAGTAAGAATGAGAGCATAAGTATAATATAAATATAAATAATATAAATATAATATTAATAGAGGGGGTATATAAAGCATAGAGAAATAACTAAGAGAGCAGCTGCATGCACGATAGAGAGAGAACAGAGAGCCTAGGGTTTAGGGTTTAGGGTTTAGGGCTTAGGGTGTATAGGCAGCTAAACACGTTGCTCGTGTTGTGGTTTAGGCGTTTTTTCCATCGACTCTTCCGGAATTTATTTTCGCATTCTCGAAAGTGAATGCCGCCTTGGGGTTTAGGGTTTAGGGTTTAGGGTTTAGGGTTTAGATTTAGGGTTTGGGGTTTGTTTTATAGTGGATAGAGATTAGTCGGAAGCGCGCATGTAGAAACACAAAAACATAAGATTCTTGTGAAGGTTTATGGCTAATAATGTAGAGTTTAGGGTTTAGTGTTTAGGGTTTAGGGTTTAGGGTTTAGGGTTTGTGCGTTTTTCTGTTCAGGCCTGACACCAGCCACTTGTGCCGCCCCACGCAGCGCCTTCTAAACAAATACCTCTCAGGCTGAGGAGAGCATAAATAAATAAATAAATTAAATAAATAAATAATAAACAGCAAGCAGAGAAATAAGAAAACAAACAGTAGACAAGCAACAAAGAAGTAGTAAACGAGCAATAAGTAAAGGAACCCCAAATCAAACAACATATTTATATAAACAAACAAAAACAAACAAAGAAACAAACAATATTTAGACAAACAATTGTTATAATGCATGCATGCATTGTGGCAGTGGCCTCGGGGCCTTGAACAGCTGAGGTGTACATACACCGAAGCAAAAGATGTTTCTTTTCAGAGCACTGCAGCAGCAGCAGCAGCAGCAGACAGCAGCAGCAGCAGCTGCTGCTGCTGCTGCTCTTGCTGCAGTTGCTATTGGCGTGGTGTCTCCATTGAAACTCCCTCTGCTGCTGCTCGCTTGCAGCGCTGTATTATCCTTTATATAAATAACACTGCGTTGCTCCTGCAGCTGCTGCCGTTGCTCCTGCTGCTGCTGCTGCTGCTGCTGCTGCTGCTGAGATGAAAGCTCGGTAGCTACTGTTTGTTTATGTTGTCTGCATGGCTTATGTTTGTATGTATATCTCTTTCGGGGTGTTTTGTCTCCTTTGAAGTGTCTCTTCAGTTTGGCTGTCTCCTCAGTTGTCTCTGCCTCTGCCTCCTCTTCTGATTGTGCATTTGTATTTTACTGTCTCTTTTACTGTCTCCTCTATTGTTTGTTCGTTTGGCTTCTGTCTCCTCATTTGTCTCCTCCTGTCTCCTTATTTGTTTACTTTATTTAATCTTCTCTCCTCCTGTGTCTCCTTAATATTGTCTCCTTCTTTATCTCTTTATTATTCGTCTTCCTGGGTGAAGACCGAGGGAGGGCAACAAACGCAAACAACTTGGGGTGTACAGACACCCCAACCCCGCTCCAAATGTCCTCTGGATTATATATATAGTTGTACGTAGCATATATATATATATTGTATATACAGCATATAATATGCATATATATATATATACATATATATATAGGCTAGGCTGCACTTATTAATGCGTAGAATAGCTGAGCCCTAAACGGCCGTACTTAGATTATGCCAGGCTGTTGTTTAAAATTTAAATAATAAACTTGAAGTGAAGTTGGTGTTGCCTGTAGAGACATCTTGAATTCGTAGCCTCGGGTGTCTGTACACCGCAGATACTGACGACTGGGCTGAGCTGCCTATACACCTGAGCTGCCTATACACCTCAAAAGGAGGCACTAAAGTTCAGGAGACGCAAGCTGAAAAATGGAACAAATAAATACACATATGGCTTTTGTTTTTTTGCATGCAAATCTATGTTGAGGTGTGTGTATACACCGGAGGTCTGCATACATCTGAAGTGCGAACACTCACACCTGAGGTGCCTATACACCCCAAGAGGTGCCTATGCACCCAGATGAGGTGCCTATGCACCCCAATGAGGTGCCTATACACCCCGATGAGCTGCATATACACCCTGAGGGGTGCATATACACCCCAGGAGGTGCCTATACACCCCATTGTGTTTCTTTCATGCAGCACACATCTAAAACGAAGACGCAGCTGGCTTTTGTTTGCCTGCACGGTGTATATACACCTCGTTTATGTTTGTTGATTAGTTTGTTTTTCCGTTTGCTTTTTAATACACCACAGGATATTCGCCTTCTAATAGGGTTTCTTTAAATCTTTTTTCGTTTATTTCTGCTCCCAGCTGTTTGCATATCTCGCGCATATCTGTTTCTGCAGTGCCGAGACATGTTGTGCCTCCAGGCGAAGGAGTAATATTAAAAATAATATTTTGCCCTAAGACAAATACAATAAAAACAATAAAATAAACAAACTAAAGCAATACGCATACAAATCAAACAAATACAATAAAAGCAATAACTATTAATAGTTAAGCTAAGAGACAGTAAATACAAACAAACAATAAAAGAAACCCAATAAATGCAAGAAAGAAATATAATAAATGAACATATGCAAGAAAAACTAAACAGTGCGCAGACACCCTAAAACCCTAAACCCTAAACCCTAGCAAGCAAATACAATACACGCAGTAAACGCACAAACCAAGCAAATATCAAAGACAACAACAAATGCAAAGACAAGGAAATAAATAATAAATCAAACGGACTACAATAACAAACACAGAAAATGCAGAAATGCAGCCCCACAAACAAACCCTAACCCGTAATTCCCCTAAACCCTAAACCCTAAACCCTAAACCCTAAACCCTAGGGATGCACCTGTCATGATTTTGCCTTCTCCTAAGAGGAGTTTCTTTTGCTTTTTATCGATAAGTTGAGGCCTCACACCCCCAAACCCCTTTGCATACGTCAGGTCTTCCGCTTTAATAGAAGGAACAATCTTTCGTAGGTCCTGCAGCAAACCATGCAACGCTGCAGCAGACTTAGGGTTTAGGGTTTAGGGTTTAGGGAAGTCGCCTGTCGTGCTGTGTTGGCGCAACGACAACACAAAACCCAGTCAATAAGCGAAACCCTCAACCCAACTGGTAATAATAACAGTAATAATAATAATAATAAATAATAACAATAATAAACAATAATAATAATAAACCCTAATCCCTCTCGAGCAAGCTAATCAATAAGAAAAGCTCTTTTCTCCTGTACGCGTCTTCATACAAGCTAGGGTTTAGGGTTTAGAAAGTCGTGCGTGAGGAAGCTGTTAAGCGTATAAGCAGGCGTGCTATGTTGGGGTTTAGGGTTTAGGGTTTAGGGTTTAGGGTTTACATTTGCGAAGAGTTTGAGGTTGAATTTGGGTATTTCAAAGAGGAAGTTGCGCAGTATATAATTGCGCATATGGCTGGTATTAAGGAGCTGCACATACACCTGAAGGAGATCCATATCGGGTTGAATAACCTTTAAGAAGTCGCAGAAGGTGCTCATATTATATCTTTCTAAAAGAGGTAAAGGCAATGCTGTCGGCCCAAACCTTGTCTTTGAACCCGCAACAACATCAGGGTCTCCGTGCACTGCAGCAAAAGGAAGCCTCGAGTCTTGCACGGTGTACACCTTCCCATTTAGCCTGCATGCATGCATGCATGCATGCATTTATATATATATATATATACATGTATATATATATATATTTTAAACTTGTTTATTGAAAGTAAATATCTATTGCTAGGTTATTAAATACAGAGATGGGCAGACAAAGACGCGAAAAGAAAGGAAATGATTAAAAAGAAGAGACAGAAATATGCAAGAGACAGCAACAAACAAAAGGAGACAAAAAAGAGACATACAGAGACAGCAGAAGGACAGATACAAGGAGACAGAAGAAGAGACAAACTTGGAGACTAACAAAGAGAAGAAGACAGAGACAAAGATAAAAAAGAAATAGCAAAGCGATAACGACAGAGAGAAAGACAGCTATGAGCGAAGAGACACAAAAGGAGACAGAGAAAGAGACAAACAACACGGAGACAGCAAAGGAGACAAACAACAAGGAGACAAAGAGGCAGCAAAAGGAACTATGAGACAGAGAAGGAGACAGCAAAAGAGACAGACAACAAGGAGACAAAGAACAAACAAACAAGGAGACAGCAAGAGAGACAGAGAAAGAGACAGAGAAAGGGACAGAGAACAAGAAGACAAAGGAGAGACAAACAAGTGAACAGCAAAAGAGACAGAGAAAGAGACAGCAAAAGAAGACAAAGAAGAGACAAAAGAGGAGACAGCAAAAGAGACGGAGAAAGAGACAGCAAAAGGAGACAAAGAAGAGACAAGGGAGGAGACAGCAGAAGAGAGAGAGAGAGAAAGAGACACCAAAAGGAGACGAAGAAGAGACATTTTGCTTACATGCGATCAGTAAAGTAGAAAGAACCTGCAACAGGAAGACAAGAATATTGAAGGCCGTAGCCCAGCTTCTGTGCAAATAAAAGCGAGTGCCCGCATGCACTTACGACGACAAACTTTGCCTGAAGACAAACGAAATAATATTCGTTTATCTAGTCTATAATATATATATTTTATATTCTTATCATCGTTATTATCATCAGATATGTAATGCTTCTATATCCAATGATATATATATATATATATATGTGCATACTTCTATGCAACAAACAAATACAAATATTAACTCTTTAAGTACACTAATAACGTATATTATATAATATGTATATATATATATATACATATGTGTATATGCATATATATGTATATATTATGCATATATACATATGTATATATAAACATGTATAAATTAAACTATGTAAATCATGGATGTTTATATTATTCAAATAAAAAGAGATTAATGTTTATACAGACACAATAAATAAATTAGAAATATATATATATATATATAGAAATATATATATATATATAGAAATATATATATATATATAGAAATATATATATATATATATAGAAATATATATATATATATAGAAATATATATATATATATAAATTATGTACACCACGCAAATAGAGATATCTGCATGAAAGTGCAAATGCAAATATAAAAACAGAAAAACAAACAAAGCAATAAACAGCAAACAAACAAAACAAATAAAATTACTAACAAGACATGTTTAATAAAAAGCAAACATCAAACAAGAGACACAAAGAGACAAACGTAGAGATGAAGAAGAGACAAATAAAATACAAGTCAGAAAATAAAAGGAGACAAAACAAAACAAACACATGACAATTCAACTGTCTCCTTTCTTTTTCTGCTGCATGCACCGTTGCTAGTAATAACAATGCCAGTAGCAGTAAATAATAATAATAGTAATAGTAATAAATAATAATAAATAATAATAACAATAGTAATAGCAAAATTATAACAATAATGATAGCCGTAATAATAATAATAAAAGCAATAATAATAATAATAATACAGAATAATAATAATAAAATATAATAAATAATAAATAATAATAGGAGTGGTAATAAGACAAAGATATTTATATCTTTCTAATGTTAATTGTTATTACCTTCTTAACGCCTTTGTTTGTAATAACAGAAAATAAATCGCTAGCCTCGCGTTTTATTTGCAGAACCTCAGTATTTAAATGCACATCGATAGCCTAATAAAGAAAAAACAAAGAAAGACAATAAATATAATTCACGCTACAAACAGAAACAAAAGAAGTAATGAAATAGTAATAGCAGCCTGCTAAAAGGAACAAGACAATATCTGCATATATATGTATAATATATATATAGATACAGATATAGATATAGATATAGACATATAGATATAGATATATATACATATATATATATATATAGAGAGAGAGAGAGAGAGTGATAGATAGAGTTATAGATATAGGTATATAGCTATAGATATAGGCATATATATATATATATATATATGAATATCTATACATCTATATACATACATGTATATACACATAGATGCACATATTTCTGCTTACTTTATTACTGGCTCTTAGACTTGTTGCTTTCTCTGCAAGTGCTTCAGCGAGAGTAATATAATTAACCCCGGTGTATTCATTCGGCACAAATACACCGCAGATTTCTTCATCTCGTGGGGTGTACGCAGACTTCAAACCAACGCGAGGCTCCACTTCGCATATCTAAAACGCATGCAAACAAACAATATAATATATATATATATATATGTATATATATAATTATATATGTATATGTATATGACGTGTATATATATGTTGTATATTATCTGTAATAATCTATATGTTATATATATTATGTATAAACTAAATATATAATATACATATATATATAAATATATATATATATATATATTTATATACTTATATAGATAGCTTACTCGCAATCACACGCGTTCTTTATCGTTAAACTGAAAAGAAGTAAATATTTAATATCTTTTTAAATACAATAATAATCGTACTAGACTCGAATAAGAATAGATACACTATAACAATGCATTTATTCTTACTTGTTCTTTATTAATAACACTCGAACAAGAATAGATACACTATAATAAAGCATTTAATCTTACTTGTTCTTTATTAATAAGCTGCAAAGAGGTAAACACCTCTTTAAATATTTTATATCTCTTCTCCATGAAGTCGCACTCCGCCGGCCCCACAGCCAGCGCCATCTTAGGGAAGCGAAATATTACTCTAAAAAACAATTAAATAAAATAAAATAAAATAAAATAAATAAATATATAAATATATAAAAGTAAAATAAATAAAATAAATAAATAGTAGATTAAAAAACAATAACGTGCATGTCAAAAAAATAATTATGTAGGTATGTGTATGTCTATATGTATATGTATATGTATATGTATATGTATATGTATACATATATATATAATGTATATATGAATATATATATATATATATATATATTATATACATATATATGTATATATATGTATATATATATGTATATGTATATATAGAGAGATAAATAAGACAAATGAAAGATAGCAAGCGAATGAATAAGTAATGGGGGTATACATAAATACAACATTAAAAGAAATAAATAAATCAACAAACAAATACACAAAAAGATATAAATATGTTTTAGCGCCTGAACAAAGGGAACAGAGACAAATAATTAACAGTGGACATACAGAAGAAAGACGAATAATAAATAAAATAAATAAATAAATAAATAAATAAACAGCTAAATAACAAACAAATGGTAGGTAAACAAAGGAGTAAACAAGCACCAACAACAAAACAAAAACAAACAAACAAAGCAGGAAAACGCAGTCAATACACAACAAAAAATTAATAAACACATACAAATAAACACACACACAACAACATCCGAAACAGCTGCAACCCTAAACCCTAAACCCTAAACCCTAAACCCTAAGCCCTCACTTGTCTCGCACTGCGGGGGCCAACTTGGTGGCGAAGTTGCGGAGCATGTCTGCCTGTCTCTTGACGATCTTTGCCTTTTCTGCAGCTCACAGCAAACCCTAAACCCTACACCCTTGAACCTAAACCTAAACCCTAAACCCTAAACCCTAAGCCCTAATCCCTATACCCCAAACCCTTAACTCTAAATCCTAAGCCCTGGGCAACCCAAGAAGAGTAGCACAACAGCGTCTGCGTTGTGCGTCGACCAGGGTTTGCACTAATAAATGGAAGGAGAAATGAGGTTTTAGGGTTTAGGGTTTAGGGTTTAGGGTTTAGGGTTTACCTATGGTGTAGTTTGTTTCGATGTCTCCGCAGTGAATAGTTTGCGAGTTATTTTTTGGGTGCGACTGAACAAGGCCGAACCCATGCCTTCTTTCTGCAAGCCCCACCTTGTTCAGATCTGCGCAGGCACAGCAAACCCTAAACCCTAAACCCTAAACCCTAAACCCTAAGCCCTCAAAACCCTGGGGTATAGGTGCGCGTGTATTGACTGACTTGTAAAGGCAGCCAACTCATACAGCAGCGCTGTGCCTGCAACTCCTCCTCCTATAATAAACACATCGTAAGGCTCGGAATTTGTTGTTATGTTCAGGTTTAAATGCTGAGACGACTGAGACGGTGCAGCTTGAGCTGCAGATACACTCGAAAAAGAAGCTGCAGCTACTCCGTTAGAACGGAAGGAAAGCGGTGAAGAATTGCCTCGGGTGTATCGACAGCAGCGGCGACCTGCCACTGCTGCTGCTGCAGCTCTAGAAATAAAGAAAGACATTGCTAAGAAAATAACAGAAGAAGAGAAAAAAGAAGAAAAGAAAAGAAAAGAAAACCCCCCGATGCTGTCGAGCTGCTGCGCCCTCGGCAGCTCAGGTGTACGTACACCCGAAGAATGCAGCAGATTTATTGCAAATTTATCCCCCAAAATGTCTTCTAAAACAATTGATTTAGTTATTTACTGACGAAACTTTGTGTTATCTTTATGTGCATAACACACAACAACCCAGAGCCGCTGCTCCAGCCCCAGTAGAAGGAAGTAGCTGCTGCCGTTCTACATGCTGCAAATAAATAATTTAATTTAAAATAAATTAATTTAATTGTTTTTAATTATCCTCCTCCTGTTGTCGTTCTCTAGGGGGGTTGTGAGGTACTGCTATTTCTGAGGTGTATGTACACCTCAAAGAAATGGAAGATACGAGAAACATAATAATAAATATAAAATCATTATTGAAACTTCTTCTCCTCTCCCTCTCAGTTTATGTAGATAGTGCACAAAGGGGGTCCGCGATATGGCATCATTACTTTCATGACTTACAACAAAGGCGAAGTCTATTCAATAAAAAAAGAATTATTTAAATAAAATAAGAATTCTTTTAAAATCCACATGCAGACGCCACTGTAGCACCCGCTGCAGCTGCAGCAGCGCATGCATACACTGCAGCAACAGCAGCACGCATGAATTGGCTTCTGCAGCAGTAGTACAAGCATACACATCAGCAGCAGCAGTACGCATGCATTCGCTGCAGCAGCAACAAATGTATCCTCTGCTGCAGCAGCAGCACACATGCATACGCAGCAACAGCAACAGATATGCACAGGACAGCAGCAGCACCCCAATAAAAGCAGCTTCTTCTAGGTTTACTTCTTCTTGACTCCTTTATTTACCCTCATAGAGCAGAAAGGCATTGAGCTTGTTTTTGTTTTTGTTTTTTCTTTTAAACAAACAACTCCAATGACTGTGGTGTACTCACTAAGTGCTCGAGGCAGGAGGTGGTGAGAGGAGGCAAACCAAGAAAAAAACAAACCTAGAGTAAACAGAATAAATAGACAAATAAGTAAGCATGTAGTTTGTGCAAAGAAACCGTCTGAGTTATTTTGTATGAGACGCTGAGACGCTGTGTGATGTCCTCCTTTCGTTATTTTGCTTGTTTGTTCATCTGTTTGTTTGTTTTGTTTGTTTTTGTCTGTTTTTGTTTGTATCATCATATATCTCCTCGCCCCCGTCTCTGGCCTCTTCCTTCTCGGGTCTCTGTCTCCTCCTGTCTCCTTCCGCCTCATTTGTTATTTACTTATCTCCTTTGTCTTTATTTATCTCGTTTGTCTTTATTTGTCTTTTTTTGTCTCACCTTATCTTTCTTGTCTTTTGTCTCCGTTATTAATTGTCTCCTTCACTATTGTGTATTTGTCTCCTTTATTATTATTTGTCTCCTTTATCATTATTAGTCTCCACAGACAAAGTTAATAAGTTAATGAATTACTCTTTTATAGGATATGTCTCTGCCTCGCTACGATTATTTGCTTGTCTGTCTTTGTTCAATTTGTTATTCTCTCTGTTTTTTATTTTATTTAGTTGATTAAAAGAAAAACAACTAAAACAGAGACAGCCTGCCCCTGATTAGGCAGAGACAAACTACGCAGCAACAAAGACAGAAAGAGACAGACAGCAGAAAAATAATATCGACAGGAGACAGAGAAGAGACAGACAGAAGAGAGACATCAAGAAGCAGAATGGGGCAATAGCTATGCAGGAGGAGACAGAGACTAAAACAAGGCAAAGACAGAGCAAACAGAGACACAAACAGAGAAAGAAATAGACAAGAAGGCACGATGGAGAGGCTTCAGCATCTGCCTGTACACCTCAGCAGCTGATGGTGTTTATACTTCAGGTGTCTGACCACCTCAGCTGATGATGTTTATCTTGCAGGCGTCTGTACACACACTGCAGCTGTTGGTGTTGGCTTTCGAGGTGTCTGTACACCTCAGCTGCTGCTGCACACTTTTAAGGTGTATATACACCTCAGCTGCTGATGCATATTTTTGGGGTGTCTGTACACATCAAGAGATGATGCAGATCTTTGAGGTGTCTGTACGCCTCAGCTGATGGTATATATATATATATATATATATATATATATATATTTGAGGTGTCTGTACACCTCAGCTGATGGTCTTGGTGACGACGCCTGAGGCGACAGTCTTCCCTCCTTCTCTCAGAGCAAAGCGCAGACCCTGCTCGAGAGGAAGAGGGTGCAGCAGCTCCACTTCTACTTCGAGTTGGTCTCCTGGCATAGCCTATAAAAAATAAAACAAATAAACAAAAGCAAAAGAAAGTAAAAGGGGGAAGAAAGAATAAACTACACGCATGCAGAGGACACGCAATAAGCCCCATGTCTCCTCTTCCTGCACTATACCCTCTTCGTCTCTGTCTCCGTTTGTTCTGTACGTGTCTCTCTGCTGCTGCGTCTGTCTCTGCTTCTGTCTCTGTCTCTCCCTCTGTTTCTTTTTCTGTCTCTGCGTCTTTATTTCTTTATCTGTCTATCTCTCTCCGTTTCTCACTCTATTGCCGTCATACAAGTAATAGTATATATATATAAACGTAAATGTAAATGTATATATATAAATATATATATATATATATATAAACGCATTAATATAATGCAAGAAAAACTCCTCACCATCTCTTTTCCTTCTGGTAAAGTAATGGTGCAGGCCATATCTCCTGTCCTAATGAATGCCTGAGGCCGATAATAAGTGAAGAAGGGTTTCTTTCTCCCTCCTTCTTCTTCCTTTAAGACATAAACATTTGCAGAAAACTTTTTAAATACCTTCAAATGACCCACCGCACCCACCACCATCCCTCGCTTTATCTCGTCGCGCTTCAAACCCTTCACTAGGGCGCCGACCTAAACACAAACAACATATATATATATATATATATAGTTTATATTATACATAAAACTATAAACAATCCATGCAATAAACCCTAAAGACAAAACACCCTCTAAAGCATTATATACATAAGCGTGGAAATGCATATGTATAATTCAATTTTAAGATCATACATGAATAAATCTATATAGATGCGTATATATGTATATAATATATATATATATATATAATAGTATGCTTAGGGTTTAGGGTTTATTGATATTTTACCTGGTCTCCAGCTCTCGCCTCATCGAGTGTTTTTCTGAACATTTCGAGAGCAGCAATTTGCGCTTTGAGGGGTTTAGGGTTTAGACCGACGATTTCCACTGTCTCTCCACCTTTAAGTGTCCCCTGTTCTAAACGCCCTGTCAATACCGTCCCTTTGCCTGTGAAAGCGCAATTTAAATAAAGTATTTGTTTATTTCTTTATCTATTTATTTATTTGCTTGCTTGTTTGTTTAGTTATTTATTTGTTTGTTCATTTGTTTACTTCTTTGTGAATGAATGGTTGTACAGAAGGGAAGGGAGACGCAAAAGAAACAAGCATAAATCAACAGATGAGGAGACAGACAAATACATAAACTATAATAAAACTAACTGATAATATAAAGAAAGCAGCGAGATAAAGGGACATATACAAACAAAAAACAGAAAAGAAAGGAAGGAGATAGAAAAAGAAATACATGAAGAGGCAATGTTTTAAATTGTATTTCTTTACTCCATCAGAGCAAAAGGAGGTCGCAGAGAAACACACAAGAGACAAAAAGAGACAGAGGAACAGCAGAGACAAAAGGAGACAGCAGAAGGTAAAGAGACGGACGAACACAGAAACAAAACAGCGGCAAAAGGAGACAGAAAAACGAGAGATAGAAAATAAAATGAAAAGAAGAGACAAATGGAGACACTTTGTCTCCTACCCGGTATAGAAAGCACTTGTTCTACTGGCAACACCAACGGCAGATCTGCTTTTCTCTCCGGCTCAGGAATAAATGAATCGCAAGCCTGCAATACAATTAAAAAGAAGAAAAGATAAATAAAATAATATAAACAACTATGAATGAATACCACTAACGCAAATGCAATTAAAACAAAAACAAAATACATTAAATAAATCTAACTAACGAACTGATGCCTGTTATACGCACGAGGACAAAGAAATAAAATGTAATTAACTAATGCCTGTTATAGACACAAATACAATTACTAAAAACGCAATACGAATAACAAGCATATGCATAGCTAGGTAGGTAGGTAGCTAGCTAGCTATGTCCATCTAGCTAGCTAGCTAGATATGTTCATCTAGTTAGTTAGGTAGCTAGCTAGGTTCATATAGTTCGCTAGCTAGCTAGCTGTTGTTGAGCTGGACCTGCATAAGTGCGCGTATTGCGTTGACTCCGTATTCGCCTTCTTCTCCGTTGAGTGCCTTCAGCGCTGAACCCCTAACAATAGGAGTTTCTTCTCCAGGGAATCCATAAAGAGAAAGAAGATCTCGCACCTCCATCTCCACCAACTCCACCAACTCCATATCTTCTGTCATATCCATCTTGTTCAGAAATACCACCAAACGAGGCACCCCAACCTGCGCAGACACCCGAACATTAATTGCATACGCATGCGAATGGAAATAGAGAACCGTCAACGGCTTCTTGGATTGCTACCCATCTCAATAACTAATACATTAGCGAGCTAGCCAGCTAGCTAGCTCTATAGCTGAACCGCCCAATCTCCGCGCATTTTCCCGCATATATATATATATATATATGTACATCAACATCTACAGCTTTAAACGCAACATACATATATATGAATATACATATATATACAATGGCTACGCATATGGCGTACATTATTGCTGAGATTGGTATTTGTGTGTAGTTGTTGCTGCTGCTGTTGTTGCTGCTGCTACTCCTGCTCCTGCTGCTGTTTCTCTTACTGCAATTGTAGTTGTGTACTGCTGTTTTTGCTGTTGTTGCTGCTGTTCTTACTGCAGTTTGTTATTGCTGAATTGCTGTGAGGTTTGTCTGCATACCTGTTTAGAAAGGAGGATATGCTCTCTAGTTTGCGGCATAGCTCCATCATAAGCAGAAACAACGAGGATAGCTCCATCCATTTGTGCAGCACCAGTAATCATATTTTTAATATAATCTGCATGCCCAGGGCAGTCAACATGACCGTAATGTCTGTTGTTTGTTTCATATTCCACATGGGTAGCATTGATAGTAATTCCTCTTCTTCTTTCTTCAGGGCTTTTGTCTATATCTGCATATGATTTAAACTCTGTACGACCGTCTGTAGCTAAAACCTTCGTTATGGCCGCTGTTAGCGTCGTCTTCCCATGATCAACATGGCCGATCGTTCCGATATTTAAATGCGGCTTTAAACGTTCAAATGTTCCTACAGCTAGGCCGCGAGAGAAACACAAACGAGCGGCTGGAGAAGAAGAAATAGAAGAAACAGAAGAAAAAACAGGAAACGAGTGCAAAGACGAAGACACTTCCGGAAGCCGAGACCGGGAGGAATGCGAATGAGAAGAAGAAGGCGAAGAAGAAGAAGGAGAAGAAGAAGAAGAGGACGAAGATGAACAAGAAAGAGGAACGGAGGAAGAAAGAGAATACAACCGAGTATTAGGTTGATAACAACGCCCCAAAGCCCTTGAAGAGGTTTTAAACCCACGCAAACCACTAAACCCTCCCTTCGCCGCAACAGAAGACAAACTTCCTCTTCCTCCAAAGCACTTTAAAGCAGAACTTTTTAATTCTAAAGGAGAAAGAGAACGACCGGTAACAGAAACAACACCGGATGCACCGGAAAGACTGCACAAACGGCGAGAAGCACAGAGAGAGCTCCTTAATGCCGCATCCTCACTACAAAGAATGCGAGAAGAAACAAACGGCAAAAAGGGAGAAACACAACCGGGGGATTCCCCCCGCAGCCGCAAACCCCGTAACACCATCGCAGTTAATTTTAAACCCTAAAGCCTAAACCCTAAACCCTAAACTCTGGATCCCCCGCTCTGTGCAAGCCGATATGTTTAAAATACCACAACTGACAAAGGAGGAATTTGGGGTTTCAGAAAGGAGAAGGAGGAAAAAGCCTTTTCGCAATCCTCATGCATCAGCAAAGCCCCATCGAAGCAACGCTCGTTGTTAGCTGGAGTGTTTGCCGTTGTCTTTTACCATTTAAGGCATGCAAGAACTCAAAATTAAATAAAACAAACGGAATAAAAGAGACGGAACGCAATAAACACCTCCTCTATTCTAAACAAAGTAACAAAGAAACGCTGCAGGGCCACCGCTGTTCAATTTCAGCTGCGGCAACAGAGTTGAATGAGAGTAGCTCTTGCTGTCTCTGTTTTCGTTGTCTCTATCGTTGTTTTAGAATAAACGCAGTTAAAACATGGAAAACTCAAACGCAGTTAAATTAGTAGAGGCAAATAAACAGATCTTCTTATTGTTTGCAGTCTTTTATTTCTAACACGGGCCTCTCCTGTCTTTGCATCGCTTGTTGTCTAGTGAGCAAAATGGTGCATGAACAAGTGGAAAACTGTGTAAGAAAATGGATAAATGCATTTCATTTAACAGTGAGGTGTTATTGTGGGTGAATACTGGCGTTAAAAGGCAAAATATTGGTGAGATCGCACCAAATTCATCTTTGCGGTTGTTGCACAGCAGCTCTACGGTCGCTGGTGTTGTATTTCTGTTTGTTCCTTCCTTTCTTCTCCTAATTCCCTCTAATAGTTAAATGACAAGCAATGCCAAGGATATATGGTTTAGGGTCAATCTGCTCCTCTCCTCGGCAAGAAGTATCCTTACCAAACTAGAGGGTTTGTGTTCTAGGGTTTAGTGCTGCAGGTATAATTTCTTGATGTTTTCTCCGCCGCTGGTGTTGAGACGAAACGCAAGAGCAGTCCGTCTGTCCGTACCTTTCTTAACACTCGCTTCCGAGGAAACAACAATAACGGGGCGAGGTCTACCACTCTGTTTTCCGTTCGTCCGAAAAAAATGATGTCTATGTAGTGGAAGGCGTTTGTTGTTCCACAGAGGATGCAAATTTAATTCGTACGTCCTTCACTTTGTTTTTCTGAAGGCTTGTCACAGCTTCATTGGGGCAGCGAGCTGGGAAAATATTTAAGAGGTGCCATTCTGATGCCCTGGGGGCACCTACAGAAAACAGATGAGGATGATTGAAGGAGCACAACTGAAACGAGTTCATGCTACACTGCTTCTACCATAATTTCTCCGGCTCTCTTATCCAACAGATGGCCGTTATATAGTGTCAAGGAGACCTTCTGATATATTCGGCTGCGTTTGCAAAGATAGTTGCACGAAGAGTAGAGATTATCGCGCCGGAGCTTGTTAACTGTTAAATGTTCCAACTTGAGCTGCCCAAGGTCCTAACTACGGGGGCCACGGGTATGTTCAACAACCGAAGAGTTGCTGCGGAAGAGGAAATGGCGGCATTAAAAGGCGCTTGCGGCCCCGCAGACGAATACTGGAGAGGGCGGCGGCGCGAACTGAAGCTCAGTGTCGGTGGAGGGCCAGCAAGGCAAGCCAAAATAGGGCAGGCACAGGTGCCAGGGAGCCGCTCAATCCGATTACTATGCAAGGACAAGGGCCACTTGGCAGAGGAGTGCTTCTCACGCGGACGATCGAAGACCAGGCGAAACCAGGAAAGGGTATCTGGGTGAAGAGATTATGCAACACCATCTAAGCAATAGCAAGGGCACCACCATGGGTCTAGACGCACTACTATTACCAAACTCCACGATAGGGGAGACTACCAGTGGAGTTTAAAATGGCAAGAGGAACGTTCTAGGTGCAGGAGATGCAGCATAAAGGGTGATGCGTGCAGTCACAACAGGGCCAGATGCAATCGAAGTCTGCCCTATGTGGAACAAGATTTTTTTGCAACTGGGGAAAGGGGCAGCCCATTGTTTCGGGCGACTTAAGTATCCAGAGAGTGCACTGAGGAAGAAGATCAGCGTTCACCACATCGATGGGCATGTAGCTAGCCTGAGAATTGCGAGCCCGGAGATTGGATATTGCAGAGAATAAGATATGAAGCGGATGTGCAAGTCGCCACGCGGAACCCGTTAGTGCGAGCACCGGGTCAATAATGGTGCACAGGAATTACAGCAATGCTCTGTTCCGAGATATAAGGAGATACGTGTGAAGCGCTACTTAACACTGGAGTGTAGTTCAGTAGCAAACAAAGCAGTGGCGGCGGATTCAGCAGCAACTAGCGCCGCAGCAGCAGATGCATAAGGCGCAGTTGCAGCACACGCACTTCAACCAGCGCAGCAGCATCAGAAGCAGCACCAACACAAGCAGCAGTTGCACAAGCAACAGTAGCAAGGGCAGCAGCGGCAGAAGCAGAAGCAACAACCGCAGGAGCAGCAGACGCAGCAGAAACAAGCTTAGCAGCAAATGCAGCGATAAAAGATGCAAAAGCAGTTGCCGCCGCAGCAGCACCAGGAGCAACAGGGGGAAATCCGCACGGCAGCCTGAACCCCCTGATGCTAGCCCCAACCTCAACTCAAACAGGAGCAGCAACAGGAGCAGACGCTGCAGGAGTAAAGGGCACAGCAAGAACACCAGAGTTGGCGAAGATGCACACGCTGCTGCCCAAGCAGTCGGCAACTCTTGGGGAGAGTTGTATAAGCAACTTTCCCCCCCGTACCAGAACAGAAGAAGGTATATCACGTAAAAGCGCAGAGAGCAACGAGTGGAATTGAGTGGGCTGCGGAGGGCCAGGCGAATTGCTGCAGACAGGGGGGGAAATTGTAGTGCAGAGCGTTACAATAAACCTGTTTGCCAATGGGAACACAATTAAAAAGTAGAGAAGTAAGCTTTAGTACAATGTTAAAGTGATGCACTGGACAGGAAGAGTGCACAGCAGGAGCGGCCATAATAGCGGCAGGCGACGCCACTTCGGCTCTGAGAGGAAGTGCAAGCAGTTCCTTTAATGCTAACTGAATTCAAGAGAGAAATAATTCGATAATGTATAAAGATTATACTTAATTATGCAGATATATGGGTGCGATTTTACTTAAGCATTGCTGTAACTAGCCTGCGAGACACAAGCACGTGCCTAACAAGCTTAACGTGCACAACAGTGTTAGTGTCCACCGGTTGAACTGCTATGATTGGCTCTGCTGCTAATAACGTGGTGAGTGATGAGGCATGAGTATTAATATACATTGTATTGTCATAATGAGGTAATTTATAAGAAAAGGGAAAAGAAGGAGCCGTCATTTGCATTTTTCTGCCTAGTTCACGGTCCGTTCCATCGAGGCAACCGGAACGGGCAGTGATCACCGACCGCATTGTTTGTTTCAAGGCCCAGAAAAGATTAAAAATATCTTTTTTTGATTAGTTGTTCATGCGAATATTTAATTATTTATTCAGGTATATGGATTAATCTCAGGAAGGCAACCAAAGAGGGGCCATCGGGCGTCGGAGACGGGCGGACAAGAAGGCTACCGAACCAGTTATTCCTTGCTGTTTCTTTTTGTGAATTGAAGATAAAACAAGAATTACAATCATTAATAGTTCATTGTTATACATTTGATGCCTCTAATCCCCTCTTAGGTGGCTTTGCTGCGTTTATCTAAGCGTCTTCGCCCTGCGCTCGCCGCCGGACCTCTCCGCCAATCGTTCAATCGCTTGTCATCGTATCTTCGTCCCCTGTATCCTCTGGTCTTTCAATTGTTTTAATTTTCTATTCAGTCGCTGGAAGAGAATTAACCTAAACAAGACATAGCCATTCATAAAGCAGCGCGCGCTTTTGATGTTCACGAGCAGCTGGCTAGAGGGAAGCCAATTGAATGATGCAGAGAGCAACCGTCGGAGTGTATGGGGAGCTTACGAGTTGAATATCTGAGGGGATTGAAGAGGAAACCATGGGTGAAGTTCCTCTTTTGAATGCAGGAAAGGCAGCAAGAAACAACAAGCTGAATGCAGCAGCTGACAGCATGCAGACAACATACGCTGTTGCCGAGAAGAAATAGAAAGAAGCCACCAAGCTTCCTTCTTCTTGTTTTGCTAGTTATCTTCATTACAGACAATGTCCGCTCTGCCTTCTTCTTCAGCAGCTTCCGCTCCCTGCAATCACAGTACCGACACAGCGGCCTGTGGGCAGAAGAACAGAGAGGGGGCCTCAACAGTTGCTTCTCCTGTAGCAGCTGCAGGTGTTTGTGTTGATTCAGATTTCCCTTCCAGCCACAGAGGAAACTTGAAAAGCTACTTTGACAGTTTGTTCTCCGGGGATTTGTGCTGCAAGTTGTGGTTTACAACCCCACGGTCTTCATCTCGAAAGCTGTTATCTCGCCTGACAGACCTGCTGCGAGCAGCAGCAGGAGAACAAAGAAAAAATTTAAATTGTCATATTCCCACCGATGTGCTACGCAGCCTTGCAGGACACACAAGAGAAAAAGTCTGCTTAGCCAATCATAAGGCATTCTGGCCTTACCCCCCAACATTGATGCATTTGTTCAACGACTTGGAAGTGAGCCGTGTCAAATACTATATAAATGTATATAATCAGTATATTTAATGTTTAATATTGTGTGCGATATAGTATAATATCTATGATATTCATTTAGTATGAAACCTCTAATGTGTGTATGCGGTGTACTGTTAAGAATACGTATAACATTCGCATGCCGTACTACGCAGTGTATAAACCGTAAATTATATATACATATATATTGAATAAATACTTATATCGAAAAACGCCTATGGTGTATCAATGTATGCATCCAGCACTGTGTAATACATATATATTACACAGTGCTGGATGCATCCATACGGATGCATACATTGATACACCATAGGCGTTTTACTATATAAATACTTATTCAATATATATATATATATGTAGAATATGTATGGTGAAGGCGCATCTATCTAGTAACTACGGCTTGTTAATCTATCGGCTCCAGCTGCTTCATTTTTTGCAGGTTTTGTTGGAGTTGTTATCTTCTCTTCCTCTTTCTTCTACGCTTCTCTTCTGCTGTTGCTGCTCTGTCCCCTGCGCTTCCATTCGCTACTGGTTGCGTGTCATTACCTCCTGATATGTGTATTTCTCTTTCCGGCTATGCTGGATGCCTCAGGTGTACGCGGGTGCTCAGTGCATGGGGGACATGGTGGTTCAGAATTCGTCTCAGTTGCATTGGGGCGTGAATATAGCGGGAGGTATAAAGGCAGAGTCTTCTAACTGCGCTGGAAAAGATTTCTGGAGATTCTGCAGCGAATGCTCTGATGGCCTCTTCTGTGGGCCCGAGACTGACCTTCTTCAACATGTCTTTCATACAGCAAGAAAGGTAGAAATATACAGCGCAAGAAGTATAACAAGAGATATACTTTTTTGGGTTGTTTTCGGTTGTCGTGTGACCATAGCTGTGGACAATATATATATATATATATATATATATATGCATATATGTATGCATATGTACATATATGTACATATAGGACTCATAGAGCGCCCGTGCTCAATATAATGAAACTATTATTGTAGTGTAAACGCATATACATAATATATATATATATATATATATATATATGGAGTTGTGGTTCAGGAGTACTGGGCTTCTCGGCGTGTGAAGAATTGGCGTAAGAAGAAGGGTTTGTGTTGGGGTTATCACGGGTGCGGCTGCATCCGCCCTCGAGCTTTGGGTTTAGAAGAAGCAGAAAGAGAAATGGAGGGAGAGGAGATGCCTGCCGAGACAGGAAGACAGGGGGGGAGAGCATCTGGAGGTGAAAGAAAGAGGAAACGAGGCCACACCAACGACAACAACGGCAATACCAACAGCAACAACGACAACGATGTTTCTTGTGCTGCTACTGCATGCAGCGAGGCGTTTAAGGGAGCAAAGAAGAAGAATGAAGAGTTTATTATAAGCAAAAAGAGAGCAAAAAAGAAAAAGGGGTGGGGGCGGCCGTTTGACTGGGTTGATTTATTTAAGTCGTTGAAGGTGAATTTGTGCTGGGAAGAATGGGAGAGATTAAAGTGGCTGACGTGCACAGACCAAACAAACACCGCAAACGCCATGCAAACAAACGAAAGAGAAATACGCACAAATGAGGAAGATAAACGCGACAGCAGTGAACAGCAGCAGCAGCAGCTGCTGCTGCCGCCGCCGTCGCTTCACGCGCTGCTGGAAGAGAACTACGAGCTGCAGCGGGGAAGCGGGGGTACAGAGGAGCAGCAGACAAAAGGGGAGGTTGATTCACACGACAAGGAGAAGACAACGAAGAACCAAGGAGACAACACGCAAAGAAAGAGACCAGCAAACGACCACGAAGATGAGAAGAGACAGTGGGAAGTGGACGGTAACGTCAGTTGCATTCGGTTTGTTCGGAGTGTATCTCCACAGCTGCTACGCATAATGCCTGCATGCACCCACATAGACATTTCATCTCCACCTCTCAGGAGAAACAAACGAAACAACACTCTCCAAACAGAGGGAGGAGGAGATGCTTCTGCAGCCACTGGTGAGCTTGGCAGACAGCTGATAAACGCTTTGACTGGCTATTCAACAGCTTGAGGGTTTAGGGTTTAGGGTTTAGGGTTTACGTTTTCCAAGGAATATTCTTCAGTCGGCTGGTTGCCCTCCTTGCATTTGATATTTCCCATTCGTTCCAAACAGAATCGTGTTGATCCCTGGCGGTTGTTTCTCTTGCTATTTCATTTGTAGGAAATACACAGTAGTTTTACACCTGCACTGTGCATATGGGTGCATGTGTATTACAGCTAAGCCGTAGCGGCAATAGAAGAGGGAAGTGGCTGTCTCTTGCACTTCGAGCCGGTGTTTTCTTCTTTCCTTTCTTTGCCGTTGTTTGCATGCAGATGAACCTAAAGATGAGCGACAGGCCCGCGAGTGCGCACCTGTGCCTCCTGGCGAAGATAACTCTCCTTCTTCTTCTCCCTTTTTTAGTGCTGATGCTGCTGCTCCTGCTGGTGGTGGTGGTAGTGGAGATGAGTGCGAGCAGATAGCGACGGTGGAGTTTCAGCGGATGTGGCCGGTGTTTGTTCGAGTGGGTGAGGAGAGCCGTTTGCCTGTGAGTGCGTCTGCTGGGGAGGAGGGCGTTGTGTTGTTTTTGGGTTGTCTGCTGGAGGTGTTTCACATGCGCATACAGACAGAGAAGGAACTTGCTCTCTGTCTGAAAGGCATCGCAGATGCTGCAACGGCAGACTTAAACACAGCACCGGAGTCAGACCGGCCGCATGAGGGCTTCGAAAGACAAGCAAACAGCAAGAAGGACAAGAGCAACAACGGCAGCAACAGCAACAGCAGCAGTAAAAACAACAAGAGCAACAACAAAAACAACGGCAGCAGCAACAACACCAGCAACAACAACAACGTCAGCAGCAACAACACCTGTCGGTCTCCGACATCATCAGCTCCAACTCCTCTCGGTCTCCCCGAACAGTTTGTAGAGGCATCGACGCAAGCCACAGACAACTCCAGCCAAACAGTAAACGACCTGCAGGAGGCTCGGCGGTTGCCATTGGCTTCCTGTGGAGATGATAACCACAAGGACGGACGAGGAGACGCAACGACGCTTATCAGGAAGAGACTCATTCCCCCGATCCTCTTCGAACCTGCCCCTCGACGGCCTCAACGCTTGTCAGCTCCCCCCTCTTCAGGAGGAGCAGCAGCTGTTGAAGATGCAGAACTTGTATCGGCAGCTACTGCTGTCACCCGTGGTGGGCCTTTGATTATGCGATGGCTAGAAATGGGGTTTGCTAGTGTAGAGGTTGAAGTTGGTTCAGGCATAAATGTGCAGATAGCCAGAATAACAAAATAATTGCAGAATAAGGAAACGGCCGGTACAGGCTTAAACTAAACGAAGTTGCTCGTGGCTTGTGATGAGTGCTGTTGTATTTGTTGTTTGTGGTTTTGGGCGATGTTTCAATTGTCGTTGTTGTATTCTTCTCGACTGATTTTTTGTTTGATTCTGTGCATAATTTCTACGGTCCCTACCGGTCTCGTTAAATTGTTTAAGTGAGACACCACAGTGCTGTGGCTTCCGTTGTTCGAGTCTCAGAGAGGGAGGTTGCCGAGGAATGCACAGTGTCTCATTCGAAAAATAATCTTCCGTCTTCCTCAGTAGCACCATCCGCTCCTTGTGGCGAAAATAATATTATTTCATGTAATGACGAGGTGCACCCGGTCAGAGGAGAGCCTGCAGACTGTCCAAAGGGGGAGCAATGCAGCAGGCAGGGAAACATGGTAGAGATCCTTCAACTGCGAGGAGGAGATGAACCCCACGAAATACGAGAGTGGGACAGCCATGGAGTTGGGAAGACTTCAAATATTTCATATTTGAAAAGGAGACAGAATACCAGGTCCGACAAAACTGATGCGGAGTTCGCCAGTCTGAAGCCCGTGCCGCCTTCTGTTCAGTCGTATGATGGTCACCACAGGAGGAGATTAGAAGGTACAGAAATTCTTCAGGCTGGGCAGACAGCCACAGCCTCTGATTTCAACCCATTCTGCAATGGGAGCTCTCGGTTAAAGGCGCACAACATTGGGAGGGGTGACCTCCAGTGCTCGGGGTACAAAGTGCAGCCGTGGACAGAGCAAAGCTATGGACACCAGGTCAGCATGAAATATAGTTCGTTTTCGAAGAACACAGGAAGCCCTTCAGGTCCACTCAGTCAGGTAGTTTCCTCTCATGGGACTCTTTGTTGGCAATGACCCGCCATCGTTTTTGCGCATCCCCTGTCGTCTGTTATTGCTTGTCTTTATTTTTGAATGATCAGACTCACGCAGCTCAGATGAGGATGGGGGGGCTGCAAAACGGAAATGGGTCGCTGTTTGCTTCATTTGGAGAGGGTGGACTGAGCCATGGTGCTATTTATCAGCAGCCTTTGCACTCCCCACCGCCGCTTTTCCATATGCCATACGCACCGCCTTGCCCAGTTAATCAGCCACCGCCTCCGCCTTTGCGTCGTATACCGTACGCACCGCCTCAAGAAATCAGTTGCACGCACAATGCGGCTTCTTGCGGCGATTTCAAAAGGCATTGGCAAGTAATATCTGGACCCAACACTGCAGATGCTAGTGTTGTACCGCCTGGGAGGGCATTGTGCCCTGCTGTATCGCGTTTGTCGAGACCACACCGAAAGTGGCAGGATTCCAGCAGTACTGGACTCGCTTACCAGTCCACGTGTGAGCTCATACCATCCTCAGCGCTTTGCGTAGGACCCTTCGCTGCCCACCGTGATACTGCCTTATCTGTAGCTGCTCAAGGAAGCTGCCCTCCTGTGCATCACCCGAAATACGCAGACGAACGAGCAGAGGCCATCAAGTGCAAAAACCTTCTATTACCGGATAGCTTGAGCGAGCCTTCTCATGAAAAGGGGCATGTTGTTAGAGGTGGAGCTGCTTTCACCGCCAGCCGTGCATGGAAGCATTCGGGTAATGGTAGATCTGGCGCCATTTTCCAGCCTTCTGAGGCACCCTCGCACAACAACGAAAACCAAGGATTCAAGTCGCAGGCGCGCATACTGGCAGACTCTTGTAGTGCCGTTTCTCGGCATTCGAAAGCCACTACCTGCCAAATGGTTCAAGACGGTAGCCAGTCGAACCGGGACACTGCTCATATATCTAAGACATCTAAAGCTCTGGCTGGGCGCAAACAACTTTGCGACATGCATGCCGATATGCAGACTGAATACAAACTGTACTTGAAACAACGGCTGGAGGCAGTTATCCGTGGAGTTTGGAGCTGGCGTTCCGAGTCAGTTAACGACTTCTCGCAGCATCATGATCAGCCTTTTTCAGTGATTGTTGCACAAAATGTGAGGATTACCCCTTCCTTGTACTTTTTGCACACAAGGTAGGGTGCAAAGTCGGCTGCTCGAGGAGGATCTGCCGGAAATTTAAGTTGTATTTTGTGTGGTGCGTTTTACAGGCAATTAGGAATGGATTCACACCATACATTCTGATGCACTATGCATCCACTACAGGAGTAGAGGAAAGGCTCAAACCACTGGATATGTCTGTTGGCGGCAAAAGAAACATTCCCTTCCACGGCTTCCCGCCGGAATTGGTAGATTCATTATGCAGTGGCATCGGCCATGGCATGATGTACTACTCCGTGGTCCCTGGTAGTGTTTTTCCTATTCATTGCGAACAAGGCGGCCTGGGGGCGTTCAACTTGATCGTTGGGGCGCTCGTGTCCTACACGGAGCAATTGTGCCCATGACGAAGGCTTGGGTAGCCAGTCGCAATATACTTGATGCCATAGACATTGCTGTTACACGCTTCGAGCTATGACAATGCTGCGTTAGCTTCCTATGCACAACTTGCGGTGGGTATTAGAATTGTGGGTTGCTCTATGACTCAGAATGAACTAATACGGACACATGCTTCATGTGGCTCGGTGACAAAGGGTGTGGGTTTCGCTTTGCCCAAGTTTTTTCTACCGTCGAAAGAGACGGGTGGATACCATCGAAGGCTAAAGCCTTGCGACAGCGGTTGCTTCTGCTGCTTGCTTCAACCGTGTGAGCTGAGTTGGCGGCGTTTCCACCAAACGAACTAATTGTGCAGTCTTTGGAGATCAGTGGATGCAGTGTGCGGCTCATCGTAGAAGTCAGTGCGTGCCATTGGATCCTCTTGGTTTAGAACCGCCGTGTGAAGTCGGTAAGCTTCTGTGTCAGATCCATGGAGGCGACGGCATGAACAACCGGCTCCAGGACAGATGTGACGCGCTGCCTCAGAGTTTCGAAAGCTCCAGAGAGGTCGCTGAACTCTGTGAGGTCTTGTATTGTTTTTCCCGGGGAAATGTCTTGAATGCGTATGGCTTTGAGCTGATCCATCTTCGCGGACACGTCAAATGTGGACGCGATGAGTTCGTAAATCCGGTCCATAGGGGGCATCATGTCCTTGACCGACTTCGTGTATCCAGAAACCGTCTCCTGCAGACTGTTGCTTCCTTCGCTAAAGGATTCCGCCAGATTCGCGGGTCGGACGCTGTCGACCATGTGGGATACCACGTGATTCGTGATGTCAACTTTGGAATACGACTCCATCGTCGCTTGTAACGCCGTGAAACGCGCGGATAATTCGCTCCGCGATTTGCTCGCCAAGTCCGACAGGCCCTCCATTATTTGTTGAGGATTCTGAGAAGTGATCTTGTCCATTGTGTTCCTTGAAGCGTCCAACATCTTCGAGATCTTGTGGGAGTTGGTGACGGTGCGGAAGCCTTATCTGAAACGAAGTGAATTAGTTTATTTGAACAAAACATTTGTTTGAGCTAAACAGCTTACTTGTATATATAATGCTTATAATGCTTTGAAGATGCCTATTCTAGATTAGCCTTCCGAGTTGTTTAATGTCTGGATCGGATTGTGACCTACCAGACTACCGTCTCGCCTACCCGCTGTCTTGACACCTGGGCAAGCGGGGCGCACAAGCAGCAGCTTGGCGTACGCATGGCCAGCGCGACCTTCCGAAATTTTTCTTTGGATGTGCTAGGATGTGCTGCATTTTGATAGTCATGAACGGAGTTTTGATGTTGTAGTTGCAGTGCAATAATGCCATCTTCCAATTGTTACGCCTTGCCGTCCGATGGCTTCTAACACTACGTTGGTGTGATTCGAGACCGATGAGCCATTAACCCTGCAGAACACAAAGGTTATGTAAAGCGAATATTCGGTATACTTACATAGTAAACTCAGTCTTCTCGAGGAAGGTTGTTTATCCTGTTGGACATGAGATGTAATGCCAAATGGTCCAGTGGTCTACATGGTACGACAGCAATTATTAGTTTGCAAAGTTGGTGGGCTAGCTTCCCCTGAAATCCTTCAACCTTGCTTCAATATTCATTTATATTCGCCTTCAAGCAGCTTAGGCCTACGTTAGAAGAATGCATATGCGGGCAAAGCGGGCAGGCGTGCCCAGCCCTTAGCGCTACCATGCCTCACTGCATGCAGCTTCGCACACAATCCTGTGTGTTCCTTTCCTATGCCCTTCAATAAGCAAACAATTACCAGCAATTTGGCTGGATACAAGTCCTTACTTTCATATAGAGGGGCCCGTTTGGTTCGGGCATTTGTGGGAGCGGAGCCGCGAGATGATACCGGCGAGGCACCTAGAATACTACGTGACTGAGTGGGTTATTGCATCTCTGGAGGCAATTGTAGCTCACCGGTTGTTCCCACATATTGGCTCCCCCTCTTGTAAGCCTGTAAATCTTCTTCGGCCAACACACGTCTCCGATGAGTTGCCATTGCCCTTCCGCTGCAATGACCGTTCCGTGCGGGATATACATCCACCAAATGACGGCTCACGAAATGTTGCTACTTCTTATAAGAACAGTAGTAGACAAAACAGGAGAGCTTGCCTTTACTCGGTGGACTTCATTCCTGAGTCTGCCCGACACTTTCGCATTGAGATTCCTCAAATTGAGAGTCTGAGGGCCGCTCTGCTCTGCGATCCAAAGTTCAGTCTGCATCATTCTTGGCAGCTTCGCGTTGTCGTTTACTTACTTGTGCCAGTGGTTCGTCCTTCTAACCAAGGGTACTCCAGGAGCGGTTCTTCGTCGTTGAGGGCCAACGGTGCGAAATCCAGTGAGAGCGACTTGAACGAAACGGACTCGAATAGAGCGTCGACTGAGTGCCATTTTCTCGAGCATAATTCCCTCACATCGTTTCTGCATGGTATCAGTATTTATCCCGAAACGCAAGGGAAAGTGTTGCCGTTGCTTGCTCTTCATTCTTCAACAAGAGAGAGCCATAGTCATCTCAACCTAGAAGAGTGGATTCTGAATTTCCACCCGTCGGTCACATCTGATCGTCACGCAAAGTTCGAGCAGAGAAAGTTGTGCACAGCTTTGAAGGGTTTGCTGGCGACTCTGCATTTCCTTCCGGCGCATTCAGCTCTCCTGGCTCTTGCGAACACCGGAAAAGCAAAGCGCAGAGAAGCTCAGCAGATGTACGTGGAGACGCACATCTTCGCTCGTTGGCGGGGGGGAGACTCCCACGTGCGGCATCGGCGGAGCCACTCTGCTACTCCCTGGACGCCTTTGGTTTCTTACAGATCGGATTTAGAAGACTCCTTGGTGTGTCGATCTCCTGATGAAAGCTTTGGAGGTGTAGCGGCAGGAAACCCAAGCTGGTTCCCACCAGAGGAGAGCTTAAATTCTTCTCCTCCGCTGCGCAGCATCGCACGCTCTTGTGCTGCAGGGAGTTCCTCTCAGCACCAGTCGTATTCATGTACAGTCCTCCCCGAGCCACCAACTGCTGCCCCCTTGAGTTCCTACTCGTGTACGCAGGAGGCAGCAGCAGCAACAGCAGTAGCAGAGCCAACTTGCAGCAACACCGAGGCCCTCCACTACCCCTCACGGCGGTCCATCCGCAACACCAACAGCAGCTATGCGCGAAAGTGTCGGCGGCATGGGGCTGAGCTTCCGAGAGGTGAAGAGGGTTCTCTTCCTGTTCCTTGCTCGGGATGCAGCGGCAGCAGCTGCAGCAGTTGCAGCTTCAGTTGCTGCTCTTCAGGCGGAGGAAATGATGGCCGGAGCAGCCTTGCCCAGCGAAACAAAGAAAGGAAGAAAAAGTGCACATTTCTTTCACTTGCAACATCTCTGGGCACGCTGGAGTGTACTGTCACGTACAGTGAGGAGTTGGCGGAAGACATCGTTGCTTCAGGGGAATTGGACTCAGGTGACGGCTGCCTTGAAGGTTTTCAGCCGATAGCAGCCCCCTCCCTTTCCGAGAGAAGAGGCCTAAAGAGCAGCAGCAGCAACAGCAGCAGCAGCAGCAGACGGTGTGACCCTTTGCTAGAGGGCTCCATAGCGCCTGTTTCCGACTCCGACATTTGGTTGGAGATGCACTGCAATTGCCCTGAAGGGATTGGGGGCCAAGCTTCTGCAGCAGATAATTTTTTCTCAAGAGAAACGTTTGCTGCGTCAGACATAGACCGGCCTGCTGCTGCTTCTGTCGCTGCTGTTGCTGGTGCTGCTGCTACGCCTGCTGCTGCGCCTGCTGGTCCGTTTCCTTCTCTTTCTCTAGCAGCGGCCCCGACGTATGGGCGGAGTGGGGGCGGCATCTGGCAGGGGTTGCTGCAACGGCTGGCTTTAAGGCGTTCATACCGCGTGCCTTCTTTCCCTATGTACAGTTTGGGTCTCGGGCCTTTGCTAGAGCGTTGTCCGCCTCGGGGCGTGCTTAAGATTCCGGCAGCAGCAGCAACAGCAGCAGCAGCAGCAGCTGCTGCTGCTGCTGCGGCGCGAGGTTGCCTCAGCAGGAAAGGAGAGGAACCCGCAGGGCCCCGTTTGCGTCCCTGCATGCAAACAGCTGCTGCCGCCCGCAATGGCGCTGGAGCAGCTTGCTCAGCTCTTCTTCCCTCGCAGCGGAAAGCCAGCAGCGGCAGCAGCAACAGCAGCAGCGGCAGCGGCAACAGCAGCAGTAGCAGCAGTAGCAGTTTAGAGTGCAATGGGACAGCGGAGGACGTGTTGGATTTTGGTGGGGGTATTGGCGTTGGTTCTTCGGTTTGCAGTTCTTTGTTTATAGACAGCGATTTAAGTCGTTTAGAAGAAGAACTGCTAATAGCAGAAGACGCAGGAGGGCTGAACAAAGGACTGCAGTTGGATTGCCGGCTTTCAAGTGATGATTTGCTGCCATTTAGCTCGTTGTGGCTTTCCAGCAGACAACAGCATCTTTGTCAGCAGGAAGGAGAAGCTAATAAGACTCGTGTTGCTTCTGCTTCTTCTTCTTCTTCTTCCGCTTCTTCTTCTTCCTCCGCTTCTTCTTCGTCCTCTTCTGCTTCTTCGCCTGCCTCAGGCCCTGCCGCTGCCTGTTTGAATTTTCTTAACGAACAGCAAATGCATGCAATTGAAATGAAGATCAGAGAACTCCTGAAGGGGGAGGACATTTTGGGTTTGCATCCGTGTTCGCCTGCTTCTTTGTCTGGTGTTTCGTCTTCTTCTTGTTCTTTCTCTTCTTCTTCTTCCTCTTCTTCTTCGGCCTCGTGCTCTTTGTCTTCTTCCCCTTCGGCTTTCCCCTCTCCGTTTCATCTCTCCAACTACCTGTCTGCTGTCTTGAGGGCGTTGGAGTCATTTGCAAGAAACCCGCTCATAGCAATATCAGAAAACGAAGACAGCAGCTGCTTCAGCAGCGGGCTGGGACCTGGGACATTTGGCTTGCAGCCGCATCATCAATACAACGCCAATTACAGCAAATCACTAGTGCTAAACGAAACCGTGAAAAGTGTTCAGCCTACAGGAGATCAGCAGCGCACGCAGGAGCAACAACAGCAGCAACAGCACCAACAACAGCACAAGCAACATCCACAGCATCCACTGAAGCATCAACAGGAACAGCAACAACAGCAGCAGGAACAGCAACAGCAACAGCAACAGCATCAACAGCGGCAACCACAACAGCAGCAACAGTTGCATCAGCCTCATCAGCAAGAGCAGCAGGGCAGAGGGCTGCCTCGTCTTGTCAGTCTGTTAGCGGCAACATTGGGCGCAGAATATCAGGAGAAGAAACTCCAGAAGGAACTTCTCTACGAAAATTTGGATCTACGGCAAATTGAAAGAGGCTGCTGGCTCTGGAGTCACAGAACAGGGGGAGACTGCTGCTGTATAGACAGTTCAGTTGGAGACAAATACGAGAAAGAGAAAGGAAAGGAAGAAGACGCAGGCAGAGAAAACAAAGCTAACGAAAACAATGAAGAGTACAAAGAGATAAGGAGAGATAAACGTGCATCGCAGTACAAAGGCGAATATAGGCACACCGACGAAACCGAAGACAAAGGCAAAACAAAAGAACAAGAATATATAGAAAACGACAAAGAGAGAGAAGGAAATAGAGAGCTCAGAATGAACCTACAGGACGATGCCTTCTCGCCCATCTGTAAGAGAAAACTCACTATATTATTTGCGTCTTTCTTCGTTCTGTTGGTTTTTTGTATTTTCGTTTCTTAGCAGAGGCATATGAAAGAAGAAGGGTGGCTTACAAGAGACAAACAAAAACAGACAGAGGCGGATATCCCTATCCAGCTGTCTCGTGGTTCGAAATTATATTCTCTGCTTGGTTTGTTTGCTGCGCTGTCTCTGCGAGTCCCTCTGTCTCCCGTTCTTCTGTCTCTGTAGCAGTTACCATATGTAATACGTAAGATGCATTATATCGCATGTGTAGTAATACCCACAAAATGCCTAATATACATACACAATATATCCATGTCTATATGTATATATAAATATTTATACACCTCCCTCAGTCTTCTTTTTGTTCATTACAACAACCGAGGAACTAGCAGTGAAGTGAAGGAAGAGCATTTCCTCCCTTGTCTTATTCGTCGTGTTCTGCGTAGTAAACGCAGAACGGGCATATAGTTTATTTACATGCTGCTGTCGTTTTAGTAGCCTCTGCATTAGAAGCACTAAATACACTGGTTTGGTTTTTGTTTTGTTTTTCCTTTTTTTTACTTTGCAGCCCCTCTTTGTTTATACCCAACGGAAACGTTCAGCTGCTGCCTTAGACCGAGTGAAGCCTTTTGGATGCTTGAAGAGGCAGTGAAAGTGTTGATGGAGGCACACCAAGAGTGGCCTTGCAGAGGAGAAAGGGATGAAGAAGAAAAAGAAAAAGGAGAAGAAGGAGAAGACGAAGAAGACGGAGAAGAAGGAGAAGAAGAAGGAGAAGAACAAGAACAGGAACAACAAGAACAAGAGCGAGAACAACAACAGCGACGACAACGACAACAACAACAACAACAACAACAACAACAACAACAACAACAACAACGGGAAAAACAACAACAGCGGAGAGAAAGCGAAGGCGAGGAGGAAAACGAAGAAGAAGAAGGAGTAGAAGAAGCAGCAGCAGCAGAAGAAGAAGGAGAGGAAGAAGAACAAGACGGACACGAACAGCAAGAAGAACGAGACGAAGAAGAAGAACAACAGCAAGAGCAACGACAACAAGAAGAACACGACGAACGAGAAGAACAAGGAGAAGACGGAGAAGTGCGGGAAGAAGCGGAGGAAGGAGAAGAAGCAAAGGAACTGAAAGGAGAAAAAGAAGAAACAGAAGAAAGGAAAAAAGAGGAAGAAGAGGAAGCAACAGAAGAAAAAGAAAAAAAGGAAGAAAAGGAAGAAAGAGAAGAAAAACAAGAACACCAAGGAAGGAAAGAAACGGCAAAAAAGGAGGGAAAAGAAGAAAAGGAAGGAAAGGAAGGAAAACAAGAAACGGAACAAAAAGAACAAGAAGACGAAAGAGGGGAAAAGGGGAAGGAGGAGGATTATCGCGAACGATCATACAAACGAAACGACAAGAAAGAAGACAAAACTGCAAACAATGAACGCACAGAATTGAAGGAGAAAAACCAAGAAAAAGACTCAGCACGATATGCAGAAAAAAAAGAAGATAAAAACAAAAGCGAAGCCAAACAAAAAGAACGAAAACAAGACGACGAAGAAGAACAAGAAAAAGAACAAGAAGAAAAGGAAAAAGAAGAAAAAGAACGAGAAGAACAAGAACACGAAGAAAAAGAACAAGTAAAAAAAGAACACGAAGGAGAAGAAGACGAAAAGGAGATAAAGTGGTTTGATGCAATCGGAGAAAATGAAGCAAATGGCATTAATGAAGTGGAAATTTGGAAAATCCAACCAAAGACAGGAAACGAACAAAAAACGAAAAGAGAGAAACCCCAGAGAATAAACAGAAATAAACAAATACAGAAACAAGTACAACAACAAATGCAACAGAGAGAAGAACAGAAACAAAATCAAAACAAGCAGCAAGAGCAGCATCAAATGCAGAAACAACAAAGAGAAGAACAAGCAAGAGAAGAAGATATGGAGTTTTTCTTCAATTCTTCTGTTGGCCCTTTAGAGGAGATGACCGAACTTCTGCAGGGATTTGAGGTAAATAAGCAACTACAAAAAATATATCCTTTTTAGTGATGTTTAATAATGTCCTGTAGGGGAGGAACCGTTTGTGTAATATATAGTATCATTGTACACAGTATGATAATGCTTTTTTATAATGCATCATAGTATTGTAGAGTGCCTTTCTTAGTACGTAATAATATTGCATATATGTATATATATATATATATATATATATATGCATATATATATATATATATACATATATGTATGTGTAGTTTTTCATCTTGAATAATAATACATAATAATCTATAAAGTATAATACTATTTTATAATGCATAATAATATTGTATAGGGTACTATAATGTTAACACTGTATACTTTACAGTAATAAGGTATAAGAAAATTGTGCAGTGTATAATAATAGTACGGTATAATCTATAGATAGACTTTATTATAATGCTGCAAGAGGTATGATAATATTGTCTGCATTACAATATTGTTTAATGCATAATACTATTGTTACAAATATAATATTGATGTTGTATACAGCGCCATAATGTAATATAGCAAATAATATTTAATTGCAATAATATTGTATAAGGCAGCATAATATTGCATAAGGCGCAGTAATATTCAATAAGGTATAATAACATTGTAATATTGACTTTGTATGCTATAAATTAGTATTGTAAAACGCATAATGATATTCTATAAGGAATAATAATAAATTGTATAATGCATAATAACCCTGTACAATAATTACAGGGACATTATATAGATTTTGCATCGTAGTATTATAATACCTCTGTGAAATATATTTAATAACGTACAATATAGAATGCAATATAACTTAGTATAATGCATAATAGTATTGCATAATACAAAATGACTTAGTAAAATGTATAATAGTATTGTGTAGCATAAAACAACTTAGTAAAATGTATAATAGTATTGTGCAATATAAAATAACTTAGTAAAATGTACAATAGTATTGTATGCTATATAATAACTCCATAGAAAGTATTATTGCGTTATTTATTTATTTATTTTGTCTCCAGGACATCGAAGAAGCCTTTCTGGGCAGCGGCTTTTTGGGTTTTTGTTGACTCCCGTTAAGGGGAGAAGTACAACAAATAAACATTATAATTTAAAAATAAATGAAAATAAATAAATACAGCCCAGTGCATCGAGAGACAGCGTGCACAGCAGCAGCAACAGCAGCACCAGCTGGAGCTGCAGCAGCAACAGCAGCAGCTGCAGCAGCAGTAGCAGCAGCTGCAGTAGCAGCAGCAGAGGCAGCAGAAGTTAACCGCAGCAGCAGCAGCAATACCAGCATCTGTAGCAGCTGCAGCAGCAGCAGAGGCAGCAGCGGCAACGGCCGCAGCAGCGATCGCTGTGCCTGCCGCCTTTGCCTCTTCATTTGTTTTCCAGTTTGTCCTTCCTCTCCTTTTCGCTTTTATTTCTTTTTATTGCCGCTTAAACGATATATTTCTTTGCTTTGTTTGCATAACAGAAGTTATTTAAACAAACTTCTTTGCTTGCTGCTCTTGCTGCTGTAGCTGTCTCTTCTCTCTTTTAGGAGATATGCAGCAGAGACGAAGCCGTTTGATAATTGGCGGCTGTATCTACACGTATCGTCACACCTAGCTGTGCATACATATTTAGCATTTCATTCACAGTCATTATATATATATATATGTACATGCATGTATATGTATAAATATATACAAATATAGCCTTATATATACATCCG